TGAAACGTCTATAGAAACTTACCAGGCCGTTAAACGTTCGTAATTGCTTGAAGTTGGTCAGTTCTGGGTAATCCAGAATGGCCGCCACTTTGGTCCTAAGAGGTCGAATGCCTTGAGCATCGATAGTGCGTCCTAGGAAGTCTAACGAGTCGGTCCCGATTTGGCATTTCTGAACGTTTACAGTAATGACATGTTTTTGTAATCGTTCGAAAACAAGATCCAGATGCTTGAGATGTGATTCTCTGTCCGGACTTGCGATTAGGCAGTCATCAATATACGCATGTACGAAGTTGAGACCTCGAAAAACATCGTCTATGAATCTTTGGAATGTTTGAGCAGCGTTCCTTAGACCGAAAGGCATTCGCAAAAATTCATAGAGTTCGAAGGGAGTTATGATAGCCGTTTTCGGTATGTCGTCAGTAGCCATAGGGATTTGGTTATACGCTTTAACAAAGTCGATTTTCGAAAAGACAGTTGTACCTTTCAAGGTTTCGTGTTGGGAAAATTGCAGGGTTTTCTGCAGTTTCTGAAAAACTTTCCATACTGGTTATGATACCAGCACCAGTCGGGGTTATCCGTCTCTCGTGGTCTAGAGACAGATTGCTTACGTGAGATGCTCCTACGTGGAGCGCGCGATCTCTTACGGTCGGTACGAAGACTAAGATAACGCGTGAGTGTGTGACATAAGTCGGTTATATCATTTTGAGTCGTTTGAGGTTTTTCTTTGACTAAAAATACCTCGGTAGTAGAAGGTTTCGTAATTTCTAGAATACGGTCGGCAGACGCAGCTAGCTCGTCTAAGGCGTTGTTCTGGAACGAGACCAGAACTGCTTGCACCTGTTGGGGAAGTTTTGACAAGAAGAGTTGTTTGAATAGACCTTCGTCGAAAGTTCTTGGGCCTATAAGCTCTCTCATCCGTTGCAACATGTCCGTCGCAGAACCGTGTTGCAGGTCGATGTTATTGAAGATTTGATCTAACCTTCGTCGATCGGTTAGGTCTCCTCGTTTAAGAATCGAACGTTTCAAGATTTCGTAAGGTTCGGAAACATCACTAATGAACATACTAGGTGTTACGTACGTGTTGAATTCCCGCGGTAGTGCCTTGACTACTGCGAGGAATTGTGCACGTGTGTCGATCACGCCGTGCTCGGAGAAGTCGGCTTCTACGTAGCAAAACCAGGCTTCGATGTTGTCGGGCCAGAAAGGCATGAGTTGAAACGAAGGCGGGGACAAAGTCTTAAGCTTGAGTACTTTGGGTGTCTGTTCAGTCATGATGAAATATGAAGTACGATAATGAACGAGGGGAAAAATATATATATATCCAAGAAAAACGCGAAAAAAATCACAATGTTTAAAAAAAATAAAAAATAAGGCAATGATATATAAAAATCCAAAAAAGGAACAGACTCACAGTTGCAATTAGGTGTACCAGATCACGTCGGTCTCATCAATGAAGATGACACAGTTATTTAGTTTTCGACAACGCTTCTACCAGTAACACCTAATATGATTTGTACCCACCGAGAGAAATCAAAAGACAGAGTCGAGGAGATCGGAAGAGTGTATTTGGCAATAACCAAAATATCGGAATTCTCTGATCTAATCTGGCTAGCGATTGCGGTTGATGTTGAGCACGGCGTTACCACACGTGATCTGGTGCGGATGCCTGACCGAGCGCCTTCAGCTAGATGAGTCCACTAAAAAATATGGTCAGCATCCAATCTCGAAAACATACAGGGCTATTTATTTTGGGGATTTATTTACCGCTACACCATGTTCAGTTATGTTCGTTATCTCCGACTCCATGAACAATGACAAATAAATTGGACAGGGACTTAAATAGCAATGTTTGTCGATGAATATTTAAGTAATTGGGCTAAATGAGATTACAATAGTAATAAATAGAATCAAGTTAAAACTGAAATAAATATATACATTTGGATCGAAGTAAACGTAGTGTTGGATTAAGATTAGAATTAGACATTGTTGTAAATGTATTGAACTTATTTCGATACTGACAATAGAGTATCCAGAAGTTGTGTTATAGTAAAACAAATCCAGGGTAACATGTGTTAGATCTGAACTTCACTGTTTTGAAATGAGCTACGAGTCTCACTTGGTCATCGTGTCTCAAATATTCACAGATTAGCACAAGAATGTTATGTAATATACAGATGAATAGGTGAACAGGAAAACGAACAAATGTAAATTATGAGGATACGCATATGGAGTATTCGGATTAACCACTGAATATTGTTTGAGTGACCTAACAGAATTGGTTGAATGCGTTTTGTAGACATTTGCTAGGTTAGATCATCCATTCCGAAACGAGTATATAATTATATGTATTTGACATATTTGCAATAAATGCCAGTTTTGTGGTCAGGATATTTCGCTGTCTCCAATTTTAGCCAGTTCATTTCTGGTATCGCAATCCCTGTAACAGCCTGGTTGTTTCTAAGTGTCGTTTTTCAGTCTTCAATGTGTACAGTATCATTTCTCCGTTCAACCAGTGATTAAAAGCTTCACATATAAAGATAAATTTCAAGATTTCATTCCATGCCCTTACGTTTTCTCTTCTCAATTTTCTCATGGTTAACCTTACGTTTTGCTCTCATTTTGAATGGGTGGATCAATTTTTAATCAATAAAACCTAGCTTAGCTACTTGAAACCAACGTATAAACATTTCTCTCATTTTTTTTAGAGAAGGACCCATTATTGTAGTGAATTGTGTACACATTGTTCAACTGTGAGTTTAAAACCTACAAGTTCATCTTTAGTGTCACTCTAAAAATACTGTGTAGTTTTTTTTCAGATACTTTATAACTTTGGCAGAAAACAGGAAAAATGAAGTCTTTATTTCAAAAGTCAAATGTGCATATATATTCGTTCTTTAAACAGATGAATTGGTAAACCAGATATTCAGCAAAACAGTATGAATTAGATTTTGGAAATTGAACATGAACAACTACAGGTAATACAATGAGAAGACAAAGTTTATCATATGGTTTTGATTGACGATGTCTTTTCATTGCATTTTTTAAATATATTTAAAAGATTGTAAAAACGGTCAATACAAAACCTGATCTGTAAAAAATCTTGTTACTATTCACGTTTTTTTTAATTAAAATTATGCGATCATTGTTATTGAACATAAATTGTTGTTAAATTTGGGATTGAATTAACACTGCTCATACGTTACATTAATTAACTATGAGAAAATGCACCATGTCATACATTACTTCTCGTCCCTACTGAATTCTCTGTCGTATTAACAGGTTACTAATATACTTGTTGCATAAACTTATGGATTGTGATTGTCAACATTACATGGTTATCATACAACTTCATCTTGGATCATATTCCTCAGTTTAGAATTACCGATTATTTCTAATAATAGCAGAGTTATTTTCGGACTGATTAATCACGAAGCCACCAACAACTCACAAGTAACTCCAGTTATATATATAGTCTCTGTACCCTATCATTTCGTTTTATAAGTTGAGTTTTGCATAAAATGTTTACTGATTAAGTAACTGTTAAAAGACACCACTTTTGTATTCCTTGAAATATTATTTCCCAAACACTAAGTACTTATAAACCTCATTATACTTCTTGAATTCAGTCTTAGTAGAAATTCTGATCACTGAAATTGTTCGAATCTATTGAGTATTGTAATATTTATTTGAAATACTTCAAGATCATATGATTAAACTTGACAAAGAATCACTGATTAACAATTTAATGTTCAATAATTACATAAATCAGAACTCTGAACTGTTCAAAAGTTATATGAATTAGACGATTTACTATAAGGAAGTAAACGAAAGAAATCTTTGATAGCCCTATTATTAATTTCTGAAATGAATGAATGAAAAAGTATAGGAAAATTATCAACAATATAAAATTATTTCTAATATACATGAATAGTTTATTTAATTGCTAAAAACATATGAAAAAGAGAATAAAATGAATTACATAACATACATAGACATTCATAGAAAATATTCAGTCATCAATTTGACACATAAAACAGTCAACATTGTTTTCATGAATGATTAATTCATTCACACCAGTAACTAATTATTAGACGGAATAAAAAGAAAACAAAAAGAAAATAATGAAAATGAATGATTATTTCTACAAAAAAAATAAACCTGCAAAGTAAGTATATAAGTAAGTAAGTAAGTAAGTAAGTAGAAAGTGGGTCGTGTGTATGTAATTTTAATGAATGTATTTACTTATTATATAAACAAGAATTAACCATAATATTTGCAAAATTAATGAAAAATCAATGAAGAATAAAGTTAAACTTATAAATAGTATTAAATTAACTTAAATAGAAGATGATTTACATAAATTACGTTTCTGTAATATAAGAATGTTCAAAAGATAACTGTACATAGTGAAAGAATAAATAAACATAAAACAAAGTCAAATAAACTATAAATTAAAACTACATACAAATGACATGAAATTAAAATGTGTTTACTTGTTTCTTCTTATTTTGATCAACAAACTAGAAGAATATGAATACTTTAGACTATATATGCATATGAAGACAGGTAAAAGAAGAAGAAGAAGCAGAAGAAGAAGAAGAAGTGAAATCATTGAGTAAGGTAGGAAAAAAAGAGTATGTGTACGTGTATGGCTGAGTCTAGTTCATTTATCATTCATTATAGAAGAGAAACAATGAATAAAAAGGTTGAATAGACTGAAATCATTCATTTTTATAAATACACTAATTTTATATTACGAAATAATTGTTGATTTTGTTTGAAATTAAAGTTTGTGTATTGAAAATTATCATATATGTATATATATTTAATGAAATTATTGAAGTGTATAAATTACACTGTGAAAGACAATAAACTGTTATTATTATTTTTTTTAAAACCTAAAAAAATGCATTAACTGGAAACAGTATATTTATTGAAATATGAATATCCTTCTTGATGATAAATATGATTCATAACTATGAAATTGTATTCTATGGTAACTAGAAATATGTCTGTTGATTAATAATAGAAAGAAAGGAAAAGAAATACAAAATTAGCATGATTTTAAAGAAGGTTATACTTTAAGTTTTACAACAAACAATTCACAAAGTAACAGTAATGTACATCTATATTTCATTTATATATTAAAATCAAATTAAATTATTTATTAAAATAGTCAATCGATCAGTAATTGAGTTTATCTTAATCAGTTAATAATAAAATTAAAATGTAATTGATGAATATATTTATGGATAACACATACCTCAACTATTAGTTCATTTATTCGACTATGATCAGAACAGTCGATGTACTGTAACTAGATTTAATCTTGAAAATATAAGCTGAAAATTGAGTTATTTAACTATTAAGTCAACTGTTGACTGACTAATAGGATCAAATTTACTTCAAAAACTATAATCACTTAGAATATTAGAAATCATATTAACGCAAAACTCAATAGTATAACAAAGTAAACTTAGAAATTCTTATCAAAAGATTTATTGTTGTTTGTTTTTAAGACACAGTGAGCAAACATCTAATGAAGCAACAAAATAAACCAATAGAATCATTAAAAACAAAAAACTTTCGGAGTAAAAAACTTTCTATTCAATGATATCATCTAAGAAAACCTAACAGTCATATTTATATTCTTTTTTTTGCTCATAGTGATCTATAATAAAATATAGAGTTTTTGCGTCATTATTAGAGATACCAAAGTCATTTAAAAGTAAACACGATTTGATAAATACTTATGAAAAATGAATTTCCTACCAGGTCCATTGACTACGAAGTTAAAATACTTAATTTCAAGAACCACTACATTGAGTTCAAAGATGATATGGTTCCAAAGATTGCAAGACACCGACTATCGAAATATTCAAAGAAGAGGTTTTAGTCAGACGAGTTGAGAGTTTTATTTTCCAGCTGATTCTTGGTTTGAGATGAATTTCCGCTCAAGGCCACATAACTGTGCATCTTTTAGTTCACATGCCCTTATGGAGCATATCATACTGACCAAATGATGTATTTTTTACAAACCCATATTCGAACACAATCAAGTATGGTCATTAAACGGCAAAAAATTCAGTTAACATCCCAATTGTAGAACATCTAGTTTCTAAAGAATCCTAACAGTTGCATAGAATTAGAGCATACTTAAAAGCAACTAACACCTTTTGAAATGCTTTAGTTAGCACAAAAACAAGAACTCCTCTTTCAGTCAACAAAAAGCTGAGTCTACGTAGTAAGTTGTATTGCTTGTGATTCTTTCTTATTTGGAGAGTAATGGAATCCAAACTCCAGCTAAATGACATCTAATTTACACAAAAACACTACCTTATAATCCAATGGAACTTAAAAAAACCCTATCTAAATCAGCAATATCAGGTCATGGCAACTTCAATTAACATCAAATAATAATATCGATATTACAAATATCGAAATGATTCATAGACGCCTTCTTACTATAATGCAAGGCAAGTGGCTCAAGCCGTCATTACATTGTTTAATCCTACTGCCCACAATCGAAAAAAAATGCCTTACCATACATCCAACTTGGACCACTTATCCAAACTACCGTAACTAATTCTATCCACATCTTACACCATTACCACGTATACAAATTTAACTTTACGTGATCAAATGACAAATATCACATTTTCACCCTGACCAGAGTGACATGACATTAGTTTAATCAGACTTGGTTTTTGATTGTACCAAATATTTTTATTTTGCTCGTTTATACTATTTGAACTTGTATTAATTTATTTGGTTTATTTATTTACTCTCTCTGAAGAAATACGATACACCGAGTCACTGAATATTAGAACTTTCATTTAACTACTGTAAGAATTCAAAGTTCTTTCTTAAAAATTATTATTCATGAGTATAATCATATATGTTTGAGAGTAAAATAAAAACACCTTCACAGTATAATCATCAAAAAATTGAAATAATTTGTTTTTCTTTTTAAATTATATCCTAACATTATATCTGTACTTGATTGTTAAATATTATTATAAACAAACTATTTAGATAATTTTGTTTATTTTTAGAGTTATGATACACTATAGTCTCAGTTGTCATGATTTCTCATCTAATCAATTAGGTGGTGAAATTGTTGAAATAATGACATGAAATTGTAAACATTAACTTATTCTAAACTAGATCTTGATATTTCAGTCGTTCATATTATATCAGTTCAATGAAATTCAATTTCACTAACTGTTATTGAACTGGGCTGTCTTCATTTCTTACATTTAAGATATTCCCATAAAAGGTTTGTAAATAGAAGAGACTATTTTTAGTCTTCTGAAAACCTTTATACTTTATAGAGTAAAGTCATTTAAATTTTTACTTACTTCTTTTTTATTTGATAAAAGGGATTCACGTCTAGCAGCTACAAATATTTTACGAGCTGTATTCAAATCTTCAACTGATGGAGTATTACTTGTTGTCATATCTTTATGCTAGATAAAAGAAATAAGATAATGACATGTAGATTGACTTAGGGAATATGCTAAAATATAATTAAGTCAAATTAATCAGAATTATTTTGTGTGAAAATGTCATTAATCCTAAAACAAAATAAACATTATCACTTAGTCTATTTAAAGAAATGATAATATACTAAAACAGAATCACGAGGTGATCTTTACTCTACACAGCCCTTCACCTACTAGATAGTAATCATAAATAATCTAGAAAGGTGTAACCTATCATTAGGATAAGGAGAGATTACATTTCAAAATTCAAAGTTCTATTATACTGAATGGAGAATGAATTTTAGGATCACATTTCATTTGTAAAAAAAACCTACGATTAAAAGAGAGTAAAGATTGCAGATACTATTGTGGCTGTCATCACTTCGTCTTCTTCTTTGAAATTATTATCGAAATGAAAGAACTACAAAAAGTAAACTCATTATATACTCTAATAAATGTTTTTTAAGATTATTTTGGATACATTTATTTGATAAAAAACAACGTAAATGCTGTTGAATACATCCAAAGTAAACGCAAACATTACTAATTATAATTATGAAAATATTCTCGGCTAAGTACTGGGAGCAAAAGATATAAACGATGAAAGAGTATTTGTTATTTTTAATGAATTTTAAACGATAAAATCTGTTTTTATATATATGATTAAAAGTGATAGATTTGGTTGAAAGAAACAATAGATTAAAATGAGCATTTTCAATCAAACTTTTTATTGCCAAAGTGTGAAATATCCCTGATGATTTGCATCACAAACTAAAATTAAATAGGTATTTTATCCTAATATGGAACTTTTCAGAAGTGCGTACCTCCGACCCCACCGAGGATGGAATCCAGGACTATCAGGTTCATTATCGAACACTAAATTATTGGTACTTTATATTCAATGAGCTTCCTCTATACATAGTATTTGTCATAATACTAAACTATTATCATTTTCTCAACCTCTTCATTTATCATAACTTGATTGTTATATAAAATTTGGATTTAATTTCAACGTCTGTTTCAGTCAAAATGTTGGGAAATTTCTTAACTGTCTAAGATCTAACTTTACGAACAATTTTGTTCTGCTTCAACTTTATACAAATTGCTAGAAATTAGTGAATTGTTTGCTTTAAAACTTTTACCAATGAACTTTAGAATATACAATCGAACAGTACAATAAAAGTAAGTAAAACTCCTATTTCAGAAGTATTCTCATGAAGACTATCGAATGAATTTAATGATATGTACCGATTGAGTTTACAAGAACATTTTTGAACAACAATAAGAATAATCTTCAAGAGTTTAACAGCAAACATTTTTATGTCACAAAATGAGTTACACTACGACATATGATCATTTTGTAGCCTATTTAATAGACTATGTTATGCCTGTCATTTATTTTGTCTGAAGACATGCTTCACTGACTTGTGCGAGGTAATATAAACTTCGAATCCGAAGAAGTATAGCGAAAAAAATAGACAACTGAAATGGGTTTATTTGACTGCGGAAATAGATCAAATAATATATGCATAGACTACTTTTTATATGATAAATGTACAGTCAGATTATTACTCTGTTTTTAACAATTTGACTGAGTAGTATTTGGTATCAGCAAACCTGTTACCTACTGTCTGAACACATATTTGCAATATTATAATGGTTGATAGTAAATATATTTTTTTATTACATCCTAAGGAGTAGAAAATTGTTTTTTTGAAGTTTCATATCTTAATGTAAGCCACTTCTTAAGAGTAAATGAATACCCGAATTAAATTAACACAAGTTTAAATAGCACATAGGAAACAATGCAGAATATTTTTAGTACAATCAAAATCATAGTCATGATGGTTGACTTTCACCCTGATTTGATTTTTCCTTTATGTCCTGTCATATCAGGTTGTACTCGCAAATCTATATTTTGTGAAATGTTTATTCTACAACTACAGTATACATAGTTTTCTGCTAGTTTCCTGTGATTTACATTGTACTATGTTTTTTCTACACTTACCTTAGAAACACCTGAGCAATGTGTCTAATAAAAAGTTAGAATCAAAGTTATCTGTGTGACTGTGTAGTTTGAACAACTTTAAATTACCTATTCCTTTAAAAATTCTTAAAGATTTATGAACTGACATGTGAAGGTGGATAATTTCGACAGGTCGGTGGGGTTGTTATTGGTAGTCCGTTAGTTGAATTATTAGCTGACGTGTTTATAGTGCATGTTGAAAATCTATCTGAAGATCTAATCGAAAGCATGTCCCTTTATAACAGGTATGTGGATGACATCTTAGTTATCTGTCAAAGATAGGAGAACATGAAATATTTAAAGAGTAAGCCTAACACTGAATAAAAATAAAGAGAATTCAGCGAAGGAATTTTTCCTTTCGACGAAGTCACTTACTTAAGCTGTACATTGATATTTATAGTTGTATGGTAAATATATGTGCATTGCAACCGATGAGATTGATGTAACACTATATGTATTGTCTAATGATAATAACTGAAGACAGCAAATGTCTTGACTTACTTGATTTGAATCAGATGAACGTAATTTCCTGAGTTTAAAAATCCTAACATATTACCGGCCAAATTAATCAGTTTGCCAGATTCTGGATCATAATTTGCTTTTGAAGAATCATTATGTACATCGATCAGATGATTTATGTTTGCCATATTTCTAAAACAGAATAATTTTTGACATAACACTAATAAGTTAATAGGAAGGAAAGTATTATTTGAAAATACCGAAGGTCAGTGTATGAATGAATAGTTTCCTATAGTTTTACAATAGTTTATGTATATGCTACTAGAGTTGTTTTATGAATCAGGATTCGTAAACGTTTATGGCCACAATATCGTTTGTACTGTATGTGGGGATAATCACAATTCACTCTATGAATGCTGAGCGATTTAATCTCAAAATGAAGTTACTTTTTTAAAGGTATTTATAAGTATCATTAGTTTTGGAATTTCTCACAGATCATCTATATTGTTTGTCCTGGTAGTATAATATAGCTACAACTTATCAAATAATAACAGTCATTATATAATAAGTTAACTTCTACTGGTAAGATTGATATTAATTAACCGATGAAAAATATCCATATCCTTGTTTTAAAACGAAGAGTTAACTCCTGTTGGTGTAAATTATCTCCCAAAGTTTAGGAATCATCATTCTCATAAATGAATGTTGTTCTATGTTTTATATTTCTACAAACGAAAAATACATCAACGCTTATTTAGGTGAATAGCAGAGATCAGTCCAGTTTTTATATAGTCTTGTTTATGAATTTACATCAATCAACTAGAAAATAATCATATGAGCCGTATTAACTGGCTAGAACATGGATTTACTGAAGTTATAATAATAGTCATCAAACAACAAAGGTAACCAAGTTTGAAGAGAAACACAAAAATTATTGATAGAAATAAATGAATATGGTTTTAAAGTATCTTTCTGGTTGTATGACCTATAGATTTAAAGTTTGATGCAGAGAATAATCATTATTGAAGATTGTTTAGACCTACTGAGAGATATGATGAAATAACTGTCTATTGGTTTGTTTTTAATTTTCAACAATTCATTTATTGTACTCATTCAGTGAAGAAAGAACTGTCTACAAATATGTTATACTCATTCAACATTTCACCAAAAATAAAGATTTGTTCACAATAAAATATTCATCATAACAACTTTTAGTATTTCCACTGTTCCAACAACAATTATCTCTCTCATTCTCTTAAATACTATTTACACAAATATACATGCGATTTGGAATACATAACCAAAGCAAAAAAATGTTCTTTTTTTTCTCTTTACAAATCACATTATTAAAAACTAGGCAAATTAGTAAAAATAAAATTTTAATTACTTATAATAACTAATCGATAATAAATTGTTACTATGATAAAAATGATGATAATAATAATAATAATTTTATTACTGTAGGAAACTATTTGCTCTAAGTAAATAATCTAATTTTTCTGGTGTAAACATATGACCAGAACAAAATAAACTTGAATCCCATTGATAAGATGGATGTGAATTAATTTTGTAATTATTATTACTAATAAAATTGGTATTTTGCATTTGGAATTCAACATTATTATTATTATCATTATTATTTATTATTGTTTATTGAATGTTGACAGAATGATAATTTTGGATTTGTAGAATTTTGTTTAATTTCTTTTGATATAATTGATATTTAGGCTTTAAAATAATTTTTTTCAATGGTCTATGTTTATTATCATCATCATCATCAAATAGAGAATGATTTGAATGAATTCGCTTTTTTAGAATATATTTATTTTTGTTTAATGAATTCATTGTATTATGATGAGTATTATGAATAGATTGTAAATAATGATTTGTTGATTTATTATAGGATTGATTGTGTACAAGTGATTTACTATTTGAATGTTTTAATTTCTTTTGAATAGATGATGATATAATTAATGGCATGCTAAAGCAAATTAAAACAATATGCAATAAAAAAAATTATAAATTGTTTACATGCAATAGATTATTTGATATTATTAGTGATTTTATCTTTGATTTAAAGATTAGTGAAGATGGATGGACCAGAGAATACTAGAAAGATAGGAATCTTCAATAAAGCATTCACAAACTTGACAAGGATCTAATTTAAGAACTCTTGTTTTTACATGTCACTGGGTAAAAGTAAAATAGACTGACGCCTTTGGGTGGCTTATTAGCCACTCAAGAAAAGCTGAATAGTTATGAAACAATGAACAATAAAAAGTGGTAAAATAATAGTGGAATAACTTTCCGGATCTGAGTAATCATTCCTCACATGATAAACTATACTTTGTACTAAAGGAAAAACATCAACTTTTCATATTACAAGTCGGGCCAGTATTCTGAATTAAGGTTATCACCCCATAGAGTTTTCATCACTATATGTCATCGGTTAAAAACGCAGAAGGGCTTTAGCTAGGTATTAAGAGTAAGACTAGAGTTTTGTGTTGAGTTTACAAATCATGGTTGGGGTTCATATTATGAACTGATATCAGTTATAATGCAATGTTTTGACGTTCTTCTGTTTAAAAATTAAAAAAAAACCTAGCCGTTGATATTTGGAGAAAAACTTAGGACGAGAGGATATTATATAGTTTCACTAAACACTCTTGACTACTCAATGAATTACACTAAGCACTTTAACATGTTATCTGCTTTAGGAGTAGGTATGTTTTATCATTTAGCTTATGTACTCTCCTAAATGTCCATTTTGATTGCATAATAGATATCTTTGTTTATTCCAAACATCTCAAGAATCAATTATTGTCAATTTTTATCTAGCTAATAACAATGTACAAGTGATCTATCACTGAACTTCAAGTTTCGTACAAAACAAATGAACAGTTATCTTTATTCTGATTACTTATTTGAAGGTTGTCGATATATCATACTTTTACCGGATACTGAGTCGCTATCGAATATTAATATAACTAAAATAACTACATTTAAATCTATTCATGTAACAAGAATATTTTGTGATAGCCATTATATAGTAGAATAAGCAGATTCTGTTTGTTAGTTAACCAGTTGAATAAGAAGCATGAATTATGTGATAAATAATATTTTTATTATTGTTCATGATTTCAACTATTACCAAGCTAACAGCATGCACAACTGAAATGCACGTATAAATTATCAAGAGACATCACTAGTTCACATGCAAGAAAGAAAAATTAGATTAAACTGTTTCATATTTAATAAAAATAACTTTCAACAAGAACACACAGGATGCAGTGCATTTACTAAAGTGTGGACATTATGAAGAAATTTCAGATCAGTCAGTTCATTAGACCACTAAAGTATATTCCATCTTTCAAACAATAAGAACAACATTCCACAAGTCCTTAGTGCAGTTTTTAGTATATTAATTTATAACTTAACGATAGTTCACATCAAGGAATCTTTATCGAGAAGAATGAATATAAAGAAAAGTTAATAGATCGGGTATCCAGTTTATTTTGACTACTTAATGAACTGTATTCCTTGGAAATGGCAGATCACCAAGAAACATTCGTCGTAAGACTTTTGAGGCATTCCAAGCACAATGTGATCCTTAACACCAGCAACATTGCGAAAGACTTCAGAGACACGCTACTATCTCCAAAGTCGGATACTGCTATGGAACAGAGTCTCACTTTACAAGTAGTATGTGGTTTTGATAAAAAGGATGCTTAACAATGGATAAAGTAGTTCATCGACAGATAATATGTACAAAACAATCAAGTTCACAAGAAGTTGAATATAACTTGAATAGATGCTAAATTCTTTAAAACTCAAAAGCAGTAAACATTTTTTACCTAGCTTCAGCATCTTTTCTCTCTTTTTCCATAAGTGCAACAACAGCCGGGTGAGCAGTTTTACCTGCTTGTGCATTTAAAAACATGTCATTCCATATTCCCATTCCATTCTTTAAATTATTTCCTGCAATATCATACATTCCGTTAACTTGCTGAGTATTAATGTCTCGACGACCCGACGGACGTTTACTACTTCTACGTCTAGTCCATTCACTTAAAGTTCGTCCGAAAATTCCACCTGATGTATCACGCTTTAAGAATGAGAAATGAAAGAAAAATATAACTTGTAGCAACTTTTTGTATTTAGGAAATACTCAATTAATTAAATAGTAAAGACAGAAACCATTGCTTTTATTGAATAAAGGATAGTATTTTAAAAATTGAAATGGAAAGTGTTTCTAGAATTGTGACATTTTTTGAATATTGCACTTAATATTTAAAAGTAGGAATATCAGTTTTGGTTAATTTTGACAAAAAGTAATATGAAATCACTACACAAACTTAGTTACAAACTGTTTCCATAGATAAAAACGTGAAATACTGTTTTTCAGCAAACTATAGACATTGTACTCATAGTTTGAATCAAGAACTTTAAGCCAAAGTTTTAAAACTCATTCAAATTATACAACAAATGTTTGATGTTAGAAAGTTGCAACAGATCTTCAAAATCTAGGATCTGGGTTTTTTGTTAATTAATGCACGTCAGAAGCATGTATCACCATCCGTGAAAGAGCTTATACTTCAAGTCAAAAGTGAGCTCGTATCACACCTTATCGCAGTCGGAAGCAATGCCACTAAGCTATTCCGTCTGGGACTAAACCTCTGTAAGACCAAGATATTTGTATTAACTTATCAAGAGGTTATAACTAATAGGCCGCCTCAATGATCTAAAAGATATGTGTTCGCGCACAAAACCGATAGGTCCTGGGTTTGAGTCTTACGAGGCGGGATCGTGGATGCGCAGTGTTGAGAGTCTTACAATAAGACGAAACGGCCGTTCAGTGCTTCCAAGCTTTCCATGGGGGTCTAGCTTCAATTTACTCATGATCTCAACTATTGAAGTTACTGTAATATCCACAAAATTACTTCTGATACTAACATCATTTTTGCCTATCAGTCACTGTAAATTTAATTCTACTGATCAAGTTTCAGTGTGCCCACTATTCTAAGTCACTAGCAATCTTTTTTTGACACTGTAGATAGGTCTTCTTAATGAGTATCAACTAGTTTGAGACCTAGGTACAGTTCTCTACTCTACATAACACAAAGAAATCGGACAACAGATTCGAGTCACCTAGTCTAGTTGGCCACATTACAACTTAATCAGAAAAATTCTATTGAAACAAAAAAGAGGACATGACATACTGTGTTACTGAGTAATCAGTTAGTCTGTTTTAAAGATTTATTCTGATACTCTGATATTCTCCCACCATTAAAGACTATATATAAGGATACCCACTTATTTATTTCATAAAATATACTTAGTGGGTCTATGAACATATTTTACGAGCAATACAAAGAAAATTATTTATTATCCATTACCTTCGTTTTCCAAAGGCAAAACATTATTTGAGGTTGTGACTTTTATTAGATTTATAAATTCTGTTGTGAAGATATAAATACCACACATACCTTATCCACGCCACGTCTGCGCTGAATCTCATCACCAGTGAGATCTGAAGAACAACGCCTGGGAAATCCAATTATTGTAGGTTGATGTGGCATTGCACGGTCACCGGCCTGTCAATATAAATAGTTATATTATACGTTATGCATTTTTAGAAAGCGTTTTCACCAAATATTCCTAGTTCCCAATTCACTATGATCATCAATTTTCGGGATGAATTTCAAAACGGTAGTGGTTCTCATCCTAGCTTATCGAAATTGGTTTCATTATGAATTGAAATATTAAAAATTCACTAGTGGAGATTAATGATTAAATAATAAATGGATCATTACCATCCCTTTACTCCATAATATTTCTTTATCCTGTTATACTGTATAGATATTAGCTGAGAAGCTTGTTAACATGTGCTTGATTTTTTTATTAGAAATAAAGATGAATGAAATCCATCAACTAAGTTTTTGAACAATATGTTAAATCCAGTTAACTATCAACCCTATTCAATATTACAATTATTAAATTTGTGTTGGATTATCATTGCAGAAATATATTTTCCTACCTCGTTGGTCAGTATCCACGCTTATTAAATTAATCATACTAAATGACTAAAGTTGATAGGCCATTTTTGGCATTAAAAACAAGCTATAAAATCAATAACAGGTTCAATTTTAAAACAAAATCTACAAATTCAGTGAAAGCAACAACGAAAAATGAATGGATGTAGTTAATTATTGTGAACCATACCATTATTTGTGGAATATATCGTGTATCTTTTTGTATCATTTTACGTTTCTGCCATTCACGAAACCAATTTTGAATAAGAAATGTGGCATAGAATTTGCCTACTGTGACAACATCACTACCTATACGTAACAGTAACAAAAGTAAATGAGTTTTATGTTTTTTTTAAAGGTATTTAATACAAAAACTATTGAACTCTAGCAATTGATTATGGATTCTGGCCACATAAGAAATCATTTTAAAGACAGCAAGAACGAAGATTGGTGCAAACTAATATGAATTCATTTTATTTCGTTAGGTTCTCATCAGCTGCTTACAACCTATAATATTTGAAAATCAACATTATTAATGATATTGACATATTTATGAATATATGAGGGTGATTAGAAGTGAATATGTGTATCATGATGTAGCTAAGATTCCCATAAAGTTAATATGGTAAATAAAAGACCTATTTTCATTCAACTCGAATTCAAAGGTGATAATGTCACAAGGTCAGTCAATATGAGACTAAAAACCCCTGACAAGAACTTATCCTGCAGCTATATTGATTGTTCTGTCAAAAACAACATTTTCTTTAACACAATCAAAGATCGATAGGTATCACTTTCATGTTACCACCAACTATGTATAAAAATTTACATGTATGTGTCAGAGCAGTTACACTGGTAGAATAGAAAGGAGAGCCTACGTCTGATTCAAAGAACACATTGCGAAAAGTTTAAGGTCAAGTGGGTTGAAAGTATTCAATAGTGTCATCACAAAACATCTCCCTGTCACAGGACATGAAGTCGATACACTGAAATCTTTCAAGGTGATTAACAAACAACCAAACTTCAACCTTTTGAAATTTTTCGAAGCGGCAGTGATCAAATATCTAAAACCAGATCTATGTATCCAAAAAGAAGCAGTAACAAATCTTTCTTTGCTCCGGTAACAATACACCCCTTTTTCTTTATGAAATCATTCATTATTCCAACTGCTTCTGAAGTTTAATTATATCATTGTCATTTTTCTTGAATTCATAACTGACTGATTTCAATTCATATCTTTCTATTTTACCATTAATCTATTTTCAGTTGCTGCATTACACAATCATCTAATTTTCGTTAACTCCATGACTTCTTATCACTATTTCAATATTCTGGAACATTCCCTCCCAAACTTTATTTATTCCAAACAAGATTTATTATGACATTAACTGTATCGGGATCTTAGCTACATCATGATACACATATTCACTTCTAATCACCCTCATATATTCATAAATATGTCAATATCATTAATAATGTTGATTTTCAAATATTATAGGTTGTAAGCAGCTGATGAGAACCTAACGAAATAAAATGAATTCATATTAGTTTGCACCAATCTTTGTTCTTGCTCTCTTCAAGATAATAAATAGAATTATGTGTATAAGAAATTATTAATTCACAATTATAAGAACAGGTTTTGCCACTCTGAATAAAAGATGAGTAATTTTTAGGCAACTTACAATGATTAAAATATAAGGGATCTGATAGCAAAACACTATAGATATACCGGACCTCACTTTAAACAAGAACGACAGAAATATCGAGTAAAGCTGTCTTTTGAGAAAAATGATTCAATTAATGTGTAAATTGATTTTTTAAGAAAACTTTGCCAATAAATAAATAAATAGAACATACCTTTCGGTGGTATGATTTGATCTAATAATTTCGGACTAGTACGTTTCCAGATACGTTTAATCACTATACGTAATTCTTCATTCAATTGATCTAACGATTTTTCTTTTTCGCCAATTTCAGCTACAATTTTTTTGTAAAATAAAGAAAAATATTTTTCGAAGAAAGTCAAAGCAGTAAAACAAACAGACAAAGATCGTCATCATAATCGTTATTTTCTCCGTAAAACACAAAATAAATCTGTCCGTATGACAGAAATAGAAATATTCAGATCATTTTAATTAGGTTATCGATTATGTTTTACGCTTGTATCATTGCTTGGTACAGGTGAGTACGCAAATAGTAGTGTATACAGTAAGATAAAAACAAAAATGAAACATGACAAGTTAAAGTAATAAAAAAGGACTAACAAAGAAAAAGAAAATGGCAAATGAAAGCGAATGCAAGAAGTGATATTTTGCATTCTTCTTAAAGCAATGTAACATGTAAATAGATTAGTTACAAGAAGCATCAACAAATTACTTAGACAATAAATTATAAATATAATTTTCCAATGAAAGTTTAGTAAAACAACTCACTTATCTATTATAAGTGAATGAAATGTACAATAAAGCTACGAAGAAATTTTAGTGTAAAATATAACATTGCTTGATATGCATAACTGGTGAACTATTTAGTCAAAGAAGCTTATGTTTGTTAGACAGGATATACTGATATAAATACCCTTATTTCAAAATTCACAAAATTTATCAGTTGTTTATCAGCTGCTTAAATGTTCAAGTAAAATATGGTGGAAGTAGTTTGATAATTCATAGTTAAATACTATTCATAATGTAAAGTCTACAGCTGTTTGACTTAAACATCATATAAGGTTACAGGTCTCATCTTCAACATGATAACCTTCAGAGTGTAAGTGACAAATACTTTGAAAATATTTCAATAATATATAATACTATACAGATGTTCTTCCAAGTTGCTTATTCATTATGCTTTAAAATCCCATTATTAATAAAACACTGTGTTTATACGGAATAAGAAATTTAATACACTTAAGTCTCAGATAACTGACCAAGATTAGTTGACTTAGGTCAATACTTTTGAATAACAATGATAACAAAGAACACTGTGGAGTGAAGTGAACACAACTTACTGTAAATATTCCAATTATTTGCTAATTGTCTAAATTAAATGTTTAAGGAATATGAGTTTGTATGAAACATACGCGAAGAATTATTTTCATAATTAATTTAAAAAATCATCTGTACTTAAATAGAGAATTATGCGTTATCTCACACTTTTGACTTACACTATGCGATGTTAAAAGCAGTGTGGTTTAATAATCACTTCCTAGGTATTTATCTTAATTTATCTCTTGCTTTCATATTTTTCATGTCTGGCTGAGACATTTAAATAAAAAGCCGTATTTCTGTTATAACTATGTCAACAGAAGAATGATAAAGACATGTGTAAAAATTGATTATTTCAAGTTGTCAAATCCAATGGTAACACTGAAAATATTAAAAAGCTTATTTAATTTTTTAGAACATAAATACGAATAGGTTACTCTGAAATTCAAAACAATAGTATAGTCAATCTGTGGTGTAACACAGGCATCTAGCTATTTCATCCAAGATCACAAACCACTTCGTTCTAGTGCTTTAAGAAACCAAGAAGGTATAATAATACAGAAAAAAAGTGGTCGCTATTTATTCACACAAAAAAATTTCCCGAAATATTTTGAAAACACCAACCATGAAAACCAGATCTGTGCATACACGACAAAGGTTTGGCTAGAATTTTGAAATTTTTTTCCAGATACCTTTTCAATATTAATTGACAGGATCGAAGCAAGGAGTATACGAAAATATTAAGTTTATACCACGAACGGACTTTGGCTAGACAAATACGTCAGGCTTGAAATAGATATAATCTATGAAAATGAACGATTTATGTGCGATATCGTGAATTGACTGATGTTAAAAATCTAAACCATCGATCACAATTCATTGGTTTGAAAATAAAGAGCTCACCGCAAGATCTGAAAGTTTCAGGATCCATCGTTGGTTGAATCAAGTATCCACAACTCTGAGTTAGTCCAATGTTCCTGAATTTTAATGGTTTTCTAACTATGGTCAATCTACGGCGTTGAGTTTCAGATCCAACAATCTCTACAGCCATTTACATGAATAAGGGTTCTGAACTGTCGGTCAAATATATGCACTATAAGATACATAACATTCGACAGAGTGTTGTAAAATTGGCTAAAGGACAGTCTATGTAAGTTGGGGATACTGAGAACACATTCCGAGAAGACAGTTAAATGAAATGAATATTCATATAACTCAATATCAGTTCTAATGTCAATCAACAGGCATCTACAAATTAAATGTTACTTATATAACCATCCTTTATCAATAAACCAATAAAGATAAACAAATAAATGAAATGCAAAGAGCAGAATATTATCGAATGTTATTATTACCTCCAGGAATTTTAATTTTGAGATTTCTACGCACTAAAGCAAAAAGAGTCGCATTGAAAAATACAGTTCCATCACTATTCAGAGGCATATTCATTCTGACCAGTTTCTATTTGAATTAATAACAAAGAAAGTAATTAATGGTTGAAATCTCGAATGTCACATAATGTAATTATAAAAAATAGGGATATATATATCCTGGCACACTAATCTGCAACCATTCATTTGCTGAAACCTGTTTTGTCTAGCAACGTTTGCAAAAATACAGCAAAACTTTGAAATAAGAAAATCCCCGAGCAAATGTGAATAACTCTTTCATCTTATGAATGTCAAGCAATTTCCATCCATTTCCAAATAACCAAAATATCGAGATCATAAACCGATCAGTGTGAAAAGCTATGACCACTGACGTTTAACCGTGTCAAGTGTGAGACAGTTACTTACTGAAGACAATGGGGAATGGTCGTGGATCGTGGATCGGTTGCAGTTAGACATTAAGACTGTTGAGTTTCGTTTCAGTGGGCGTTCGTGTGCGAGAATGAGGTTTGTGGGTTCGAGTCCCGGGTGTGGGACCATGAATACGCACTGTTGAGAACTCACACTCCAGGGCAAAACAGCCATCCAGTGCTTTCGGTTTTTCAGTAGTCTTACACTGATCGGCTCATGATTTCAATTAAAACCCAACAACCTCCCTAATCCTATACTGATAATGAAAAAGTCGTTAAAGCGCTCTTGTTGTAGTTGACACAGATAAGCGTCTTTATGATCGTACTAAGTTGTCATAGCAACAAGAAGTATTATTGTTGTAGACTTTCATACATCTCAGTATTACTGATCCTTACGATGTGATATATATATATATATATATATATATATATATATATATGTTTATTTCTTGTGACAGAAACTTCTTTGACAGTCTCGAATTTCTCCAGTTGCCATTAGTTTGTGATTGTCTTTGCTTAAGTGTTTTCGTGTTCAAATCATCCAGATTAAGTAGCTCAAACCTACTGTGGTATTGGAAGCACCACCTGATCGTTTCTATTTGGAACACAAATAAAATGCAAACTTGATAAAACTTATTTGAAAAATTCAGTGACGTGATTTATACGTAAATAAAATAATCAGCGCAATTCAAATGAAGAGTAATCTAAGTAGAAACATGTAGTTAATCATACGACTAGATAAAATTGTACATAGTGTGTCAGTGATTCAAATAATGTTTTTCATACTTTAAACAGACAAAAAATAATGGTCTTCATCATGAAAGCCGATAAAGACGGCATGCATTTACAAGACTAGCATGTGGATCGCTAACCTATATGGACCGGTTTTTCTCATCCTATTTGTAAATCTTACTGACTCATGATACCAATCACACTAAGTTTATTCATTTTAATTTATTTCTTTGGCAGCCTTTGTAAACTTTTTTCAAAGTGGTTAGTAGTCGCATGACGATTCACAGATCAACGTAGTTGGAAGTAGGTGGCAGGAGACTCTGTAATTAGTTTTATTACTTGTTTGAAACTCATCGAGAGGGTATACTTCTAATCTTGATTGAACTGATACCTTGTGGGATTCAGAACTCCCACACTCAGCTTTACTGTCAGAGACATTACCACTAAATTATCAGGGCCGCACGGATCATTAGTTTCCTTATTATCATAAATATACTTTGTTAAATTGTGCTAATAAACACGAAACCTAGGTTTATAATTTGTTGCCGACTATTTCAAACCACTAAATATCAAGATTAGTGACCACATTCTATCTATTGGATCACTAACACGGATTAGACAAACACGAAGTTTGTCAATACACAGTGTGACACCAATGTAGATTTATCAGGTTTTGGGATAAAACTCAATACAACAGATCTAATATGACTATGAATTATAAAAGCACAGGCATATTTATTCCCGGAAAATAAATATTTCGATGTGCTTACATGACATGCTCTGGTATGTGGGCACATACTGCCAAAACCAAGTGGTGGACTTATTTTTCCAAGCATAGTAACAACATCCAGATGTCGAACCCTTCCTCTGTACAAAGAAAAACAAAGTCAAATGATGGCAAAATATTTTGTGTTTGGTGGAATTGACAATAAACGAAAAATTACCAGTCAATTATAAGTGTATAGTTTCGAATAGATGTAATAAGTAGTAAACAACTAAAATTTCAACTGTACAACGAAGTTACAAGGAGCTGTAATGTATTCAATATTTGATACATTTCATCTATTATGTTTCGGTATAAATACCCAGCAAAAGTTATGCCCTTTATGAGATTTCTGTTTAGCGATCCGGCGCATATATATTATTACTGACTAAAAGTGATAAATATGATATATTTACTCATACAAAGCCTTTTTACCATATTGCATATTAAAGTATTAGAAATGGCGTAACAATACCGTCATGATAAAGTCATATCGATTACTATCCTTTGTCTACTTCAGTAACCTAGGGTTTATTTCTAGGTTCAGTAGTAATTCAAATGTTACACTATGGGGGCCGCTTGTTGATTAAAGCGTCGACTTCCAACTATTAAGTCTCGGGTTTGAGCTTTGCTCCACCAATTCGGTTCGGACAACCGGGTTAAACCACTGGCCTCCACATTTGGTGTGTGGGTCATATTCAAGTACCTTGAGAATCAGTTGACTTAGTGGTTGATATTTATTAAAAAATCAATCCTGAACAATTTCACATTAGGTTGTTGTACGAATATGATTTTTTCGAAGCTCAGGAGCAAAGTAACGAGCATGGAAACACGTAAAGCATAAGCCTAATTTATTTACTTCCAAAAACCCAATAAGCATATCCTACTTTTAGAAAGAATAACTTGAGTGAAAATCGTATGTTCGTTACAAATTTGCTCAAACTTGAATGGTACTGTATTTCAAAAATGTTTTTACTCACTTTGCTTCTGGATCATAATCTGCCCATTTTGTTATAAATTCATCCAGATGGTGTGGTCCGAGAATTGACCAATCACGTGTAAGATAGTCAAAGTTATCCATTATAACAGCTACAAACAGATTGATAACCTGGAAGTCAATTGATATAAAATTTTGATTATGACTTAGAATGGTAGTATAAATTATGGAATTATATTTCCGAAATTGACTGAAACACCAATAAAAAATTGAGTATTAAAAATTATCTTGGAAGGTATTTTTAATTTTAGAGATATTCAGTGAATAGGAATTTTTGTGTGTTCTTAAAATAAATTAATATGCGGTAAAAGAATGCACAAGACATGAAACACCATAGCAGGTGAATCAATGAAATGAACCCTTTCCCATCAAATATAAAATCGTTAATTGATTGAATTTAGAGATGTGAACTTTAGAATGCGGGCCCAGTGGTCTGAAAGTTAAGTGAACATCACAAGACTTGAAAAACCCGAGTTCGACTCCTGAACGGGTTGTAGGTTTACACTTACTAAGGTTCTCATGTTAGAAGAAAATAGCTGTCCAGTGGTTGTATAACTAACATTCATGAAAACTACTGAAAATAATGATATGGTACAGGAAACAAAGCAATAAAATAATGTTTTAAACGTACTAAAAATGCACTGATTGCATGAAAACTAATAAAGTAGGCATAGGCTAATTTTGATCCACATCCATTGACTTCTGTTTCATCAGAATCTTTTGAACACTTTTGACCTGATAATTAAAACAAAATTGTGAAAAAATTACTGCAGATAACTTCTGTGTCTACATGATAATTTCTTATCACATTAACCATCAAACAAGCAATTAACTACACTGAATTTTTCTTGAATGTTCAATCATGTTTCCTGAAACAAAATGTTGGCCAACATATCATGTATAGCTTATATGTTTTACGGACAATTGGTATGGATCTCAAGTCAGTCTTTTTACAACTTTAATATACATCTAGTGAATGTTAGATACATATAAATTTTCTTCGCAAGTAAGAATATTGGTGAAATTAAATCTGTGATTTCTTGTCATACATATAGTTTTTTTAGTCTGACAAATATTATGAAGATTAGATATTTATGAAGATTGTTTTGATAAAACACTTGTTTGTACTATAGACTAAAACTAAGCGATAAACAGACAATTAAATTATTAAGCGATTAAAACAAAGCATATTCCACATCTCACCTTCTCTACATGCCATCATTATATCCTGCCATGATTCACCAGTTGCACATCTAAACAAAATAAAAAAATTTTAAACCGTATTAAGTTCCCATAAAATTTCTCAGAAAATATTGCCGAATCGAATGACATTCAGTAAATTAAATTGCTTTGTCACATAACTCATTAATCTCCACAACCTACTTAGTGGACGCGTGCTGATGTATGATAGGCTAACTAAACTGTGGTTGGCTGATGAAATGTCACTTTATAGCGCCAGCTCATTATATTAGTTAACCGTTGATAGAAACAAAACATTATGTTGTCCATAATATAAGCCTGATCAAATTCAATTATCCACATTGATAAGAGTTGATACGACAATGAACATTTAAATCAAACAATTAATAACAATCATGAATTAAGCGCAAGATCGATTTCGAAATATCCAACTCCGAGAAGAGGTCAGTCGCACCCCGAAACGTTGAATAGTAACATTTCTAGCTATGACACTGTGCTACACAAGTTGAAATCTCAATTGGAAAACTGCTTAGGATTATAAATACACTCAGTCGACAAGTGCTAACTTGTACGAAATGAAAATAAATGTGAGTTCTCCTGACCAGAAATCTACATAAATTTTTCACCAGGTAAGCTAAGTCAGTTACCTCACTTTTAGGCGAAAATTAAAACTAATAAATCCTTAAATTTCTCTTACACAGAATTAAAAGTTTTTTCACTAACCGAAATAATACTAAAAGAGCATAGAAAAATTCTGAAAATTATTATTTCTGTGTAAAGTAGGCCATTCCTCTTCTTCTAATGGGTTTTCTTCAATGGAAATTTGTCCAAACAGTTGCATACCAATTACGGCATAAATGAAAAATATCATTGCAATTAATAATGCAACGTATGGTAATGCCTAAATTTCATACAAAATAAAGAGAAATGAGAATGTGTATTACAATAATATCCTTATACAATTTGAGGAATTCAGATTACATGCAATTGGTTCCCTTTATGAATTTAAATGTTTGTTCTTGCTCTATTTGAATTAAAATTAATTTGATCAAAATATATTAAGTGCATTTATTAGCAAATATTTCAATATATATGCAGAAAAAAATACCATTGAGTACGAGTCATTTGTGGAGATGCAGATTAACTGATCGGTGTCCACATGATGCCTATTGACTATGTTTGACATTCATGAGTTATAGGACAGAAGACCTTACTGTATTTATTCTAGTTTCTTCTTCTGTTTGTGATGAAATGAATTAGTTATTAAAGTACATTGAACAACGATCCATAATAAATGATCTTACACTTAATGTTTTCAAGTGCCAAAGTATGAGCTTTACTCGAAGATGGAAGTATCATAGACTCCTAGAGGAAATTATATGATTTTTAAATTGCTGTCACATTTAATGTGTCTCTATTTGAGTTTTTCTTCTGATCTTGTTCGATCTTACCATGTTTTGTTAATGTTGTTCTTAGCAATACAGACATTTACTTTAGGAATTTGCAAACCTTCATTCATTACCTGTTATCCTATCCTATATCTTGATACTTTTTCAAGCTATTAGTAGCTATGCGTGGTCATTGTATTTATGTTATTGTAAGTATGATTTTAAATAGACATTTCATTCAGTGCAAGCAACTCCCTAGTGACTTATAGAAACTTGTTTTTATACTGTTACATACTATAACTAATCACTTATTATGATGAACAAGAATTAAGTCTAACTGTCCCTTCTTTGTTCAGTGAAAAGATAAGTGACTACAAAACTAACTGATTATTTATGACATCTAGTCATATTTACTTACGTGAAAATATTTAACATAAAAGGACATTATCTTATTAGATAAAAAACCCGATACTCTGGCTAGTGATCTCTTTAATACCAGAACGTTCGAAGGCCCTAGTCAATAATCCGGTCTTGTATGCAGCCATCACTTCTTCACATTGTATCAGAGCATATCGCGTATAAATACCCATTTTATTCAACAACTTTAACGTTTCAAAACTCATTTATTCGTCAAATCCTAATTTATAGTATTGGTTATCACAATGTTTAGCAGTCATGAACTACACATCTACTTAGCTCAATATGGAAACAAAAATAAAATGTGGCTTATAGTTTTTATTATAATAGTGTTTGTTTTGAATTTTCACGTTTTATTCAAAATACAGTATCAATAAGAAACAAAGAACTAATAATTTAGTTCATCGAGTTCAATCAACACTAAGTACAAGACAAAAATAATTTTGATTTCTATTCAGTATTCAATTAGTATCAATATCACTGTCCTACAGAACTCGAATAGCTCGGTAGTTCTGTCTCATTAAGTGACCCTGATTTGATTTTGAGATGGTGGAGACCCTGATTTGAACAAGTGATCATATTTTAGCTTGATTGACATAGTCCAATGAAAACTAAAGACAAATAGAACATAGTAACGGTTACTACTCAGTGATCAATCAGTCAAAAACTTCGAATTCTCATTTTATGCCAATTTTACTGAATCAAAACAGAATATGTACATTTTTAAAAGAAAGCGTTTTTTATCTAATAAAAAACAGCCTTCAATTAAACTAACAGATATTAATGCATTAACAAAATGGAATGTGAGTTGTTATTATCACAGGCTTTAGAGTGTATAGAAATTCTTTTACTGGTGAGGGAACATAATACGCTTTCAATTTTATGACATTAATTTATATCTAATGTGTCTTATTCACTCTTTAGTTTTCTGATCAATTTTTAAGTCTTTTAAAATATTCATGGTATTTTAATGTAAACAATTTTGTCAAACAATTGGCAATTTAGAAAAAAAATTGATACAAAGAGTACATCAACAACAACAAAAATTCTAGACGCTTTTAAGACATCAATGAAATACGTAGTTTTTGTAAGACATTGCTGTAGGTTTATTTCTATCAAATAATGAGCTACCAAGCGTAAAGTTTCCTATAATTTTCAACATGATTGATGAAGATCATTTATTCAAAGAAATTTGAAAAGTAATCTTATACATAAACAAAACAAAATTGTATAAATTAAATTTCACCAAGTTTGTAAATTAGTTGAACTGAATATGCCAACAGATTATTCAACGATGAATACAGACTAAAGACTAGAATAAAATATGTATTTTTCATGTAACCAATCCCACAATTTATGTTTGCTCACCGATATAAACATAAAAACTTGTTGAAATCATGTTACTGTAAATTATTAATAATATTATCTCATGATTTAAATTATTAAAGTAAACTAATAATGAATATACTCTATGAAGAATTACAAAATTACTTGTATAGATTTGATAAATGTCCACAATAATTGACGTATAGATTCTTCTTTGCTTAACAATTTAATCAATCTCATAACACGAAATAGACGGAAAAAATTTACACTGAATTTGACCTGACTTATATCAGACTAAAAAATTAAAAATGAAGATAAGACAAGATTTAAAAAGAAATTAGTCAGTAAACTAAACACAAAGTGTTTTTTTTGCACATATAATATTATAGTTGGAATTATGGTGAGTGAGTATCAACTAATAGTCTTAATAGAAACCATCCAGATTTTAGAATTTATTGCACAATAATTAACGATTCTGATGATGACTAATAAAATTGCAGACACTCTAGGAAATCGGTATGCAGCAGAAATATAGCAGAACATATATATGGGAGAATTAAGATCTATCTGCGCCTCGTGATTGACTGTGAACAATAAATAGCCAAATAGTCATAATTTGAAACATGTTAAATACATTTTTATTACATCAATAATAGTCGACAATTTCAGCTTTTTCCTAATTTTTTTTATCATGACAGGAATATTCATGTAAACTAATAGATACATGAGGTAATGGTAACTTTAGTTTAAATGAAATATGTATGGAAATCCCTCATTCATTTATTCTTTTAAACAATATAATGGACTACTATTCATGATCTACTTCTGAGAGCAAAGTTTCCTGTTGATAGATCGAACAAGAATTTGTGAACAGAATATGAAAGATGAATAATATCACTTTATCAAAACAGTATTAAAACCCTGTTTTAATCCATAATAACTAGCAAATCGACTCTATGTTACCTAATACAAAATATTATAAACTATACAAGTTGTTACACAAAAGTTATATGTAAAGTTTACAATTGTATATTAATGATGGCTGTTTCATCCTGTCTTTAAATATGAGATGTGTAAACATTTAACAGTGGATAGTATTTTAAAACTGTTGTGCACTTTTAATTTTTAGGATTCTATCAACTAATGGTTTGAAACATTATCAATGAAATCATCTATATGAATACCATCAGAAATTAAAGACAAGAGTAATCAGAAAATAATACTTGCCGATAATGAAACTAAATATTATCTTTCCAAATTGACATTAAATTACTTACAAATGTATGTTGTACAGTCAAATATGGGAAATATGTTTATATGTAAGAAATGTCAACTGGTAAAAAGCAATTCATATAAATATTGTTTTACCTGTGTCACAATGATATCTATATAACTACCAAGGACCAAGACAAAATCGATCACATTCCAAATATCACTAAAATAATGCTAACAAATTTTTGAGAGGAAAAAAGCAAAAGGAAACCATCAACAAGTAGAAGTAATTACCCCCGCAAAAAATGAAATAAAAATAGGAAATTTTATTTCACGAAAATTCCATTACATAGTCTGTTACTGTTATTACTATCTCAAATCAATGAGTAACTACATGTTTCTCCTACAATAAGAACCACAGTATATTTACACATATGTCATGATTGCAGACTAAGTGCGCTGTTAGTCGGCAACCTGTGTTTACAGCTTTTAGCCAATTGGCAACGATGATCGTAAAACAAATTTATTGAGCCAGTAATTTTATCATAACATATTGTACTTTTATTCATTTATGCTCGTGACCTCTCGTGGAGGAGCATAGACCACCAACCAATGTTCTCCATCCAACTCTGTCCTAGGCAATTCTTTTCAGTTCTTTACAGTTGCCATTCATCCTTTTCATGTCTGCTTCCAATTCTCGACGCAATGTGTCCTTATTATTTTAGCTGGCTTTTTATTAGGATATTGAAATAAATACTAAACTTAGAGTTAGGCTGGCAAAAAATCGTACAGAAGAATAAATAATGGTAATTACTTTTGGAAATGTCACTGAAGAAGTATCATTGATATCCTATGATTTAATATTTCCCATCAGCTGATGTTTCGATAATTACCATAATTTTCAGAATTCCAAAATACCATTTAAATACAAAAGTGACATGATCATTTTAATTATGTTTTTAAACGAAGAGTATCAACAGTAAGTAATGACAACACTGAACACAGTCCTTCAGTTACTGAATCATATTTGGGTCATCATCATTTTATAAAAAAAGTTTAATAAACACTCGCCAATTTATAAAGTACAAGATTATGAACTATTAGTCATTTCTGAAAAAAAATTCAAAATGGATTAAAATGAAAATTCACTTGTTCTTAGAAATAGATACATAATAAAATACAAAACTCACCCGAAAGCTGAATGCTGATAAACGAAGTATAAATTCTACTGTAAATACAGCAGTAAAAAAATAATTGAATGAATCTAATATTCTTGCTTCAAGTTTACCTTGTTTATCATACTATGAAGATGAAACAAAAGAAACAAATGACAAATAAACTTAAAAATTTTCTCAAGTAGTTTTTATTATAGAGATTTAAAAATATACACTACATTATAATTTGATATCAGTTTGGAAATCATTAAACATTAGAAAATCTTATATAGATATATTTCATAAAATTGAGACTCATCAGTAGTACGTGTTCATAAGTTTGTACATATCCCAAAGTAAAATCATATAGCTTTTCGAAGTTTTTTTTGTATTTTCATTTGTTCTCAAACTGATAAAATAGTTATGCTAGGAAAATCTCACGTTTAAAAGATTAGGTATATTTATCGACTATAACCTTATTGAAAGTATCATCATACAATTACTATACAAATGTAAAGCTATTTGGAATCATTCATAAGATAAAATTTCTAGTGTCAAAAGTATTCCCTATTCAAATAAGATTAGTGAACAATAACAAGGGATTTTCAAATTAGATCAAGTGTATAACCGAATAGCTTGACTATGTATGCACTAACTTTTACAATAATTTTGTTAATATAAAATTTCAATATCGATTTTAATAAGACACATATGTATGTATTAAAATGTTGTCTATGTATCAGATTTAACTCATCAAAATTTCACTGTACCGGATATTCGGGAAAAAAATGTAAGAATCATAGAGTTTTGCAAGCTATAAAACCAAGTTAATTGTAAAGACTAATAAATTTCCGATGCTAAATGATTACAAATAAAACACAGTAACGATCAATTAACTTCTCGATGGATTCATAATTGGTAAAAATACCCATAACACTTATGAAATAAAATGACGCATGTTCTTAGAGTAACTCATTTTTCAATGATCATTTGGTAGACATATCTTTAAATGTTCATCAACCAATATATATTAAGTCGGGTAGCATTCGAGTAAATAAATTATAATATGATAAGACAATATAAATTATAAAATTATAAAATTATTTGCTTACTTTCAACATCAATGCCACAGTGTTTATAAATATGAATATGAAGATTAATATTTCAAACCTTTTTGATACAACTACAGACCAAATCTTAAACTGTAAATGCCCTTTAGGAATGTAACGTCGACGTGGTCTAGCTTTCAAGGCATATTCTATACATTTACGCTAAAGATTAAAAAACAACAGTAAAAAGAACATTTACGTAAAATACATTGTTAAAATTGATAAAATTAAAGGATAATATAATGAAATGAGATACGAATAGCAACAATGTTTGTTGACAAATGTCTAAACTAAGTTTAATGATTTAGTATATTTACGTCAACAAAACGCTTAGTTAAATAATACTTTATTCACTTTGGTAAAAGCTGATTAATCTCAGAATACTAAGTTTTTGCATCTCAGTTACGTTTGGTGACTCTTATTTAAATATGCCACATAATTAGTAAATTTAGAAGCTATGCTATGCAGATAATATCCACCAGACCTGATGGTTGTTCCATCTAGTGGATTATAATTTAATGAATTTATAAGATAACGGTTTACGAGTGCCACTCATGAAGCAATACACCAATTTTTATCAGTCACCTGTTATTATACTGACTTTGAAACTATAAAAATCATTCAAGATTCTTTTGTAGCCTACACCATAAAATTATGAAAGTAAAACTTCATTCAACAAAGCTGATGCCAGTTATTTTGTCTAAATTATAAATTGAAAATTAGGACTTATTTTTCTGTAATTTCGAACCAACGTTTTATAACGATGTTTGTCATAAGGTACCCAAAGTTTACTACTGACTTTTGGAAATCACTCAAATTTTCATTTAACTTATCTGATCAAGACAACGTAATATCTTCCACGTTCATCATCTTGCTTACTGTCATATAAATTTCTGGCGTACCACAATTGGTAAGAACCAACGTCATATTGTCTAATACTTAATGCTGATCTAACTGTATCGATGAAACTCAAAAGCAATTTTAGCTTCTCAGCACAAAAAAACTTAATTTAATAGCAAATAACTTATCGCCAACGTCAAGGAATGAGACAGCAGGTTTGATGAGTATAAATCCTATAGAAGGCATCAAATTCTTTCAAGATCGCAGATATAGCGTCTTGCCGACTGAAAACTAACACAAAAAATAAGTCAGACAGGCCTTTCGACCACTTGTCGCCAACCACCAAACATCATTCGGTTAGTTATTCAGTACTTTTCACTCAAAATAATTCACCATACCAAGAGAAAAAATTCCTTACTTGATTTTTATTTAATTCACAATTTTTATATTCTGCTTCACCTTCTTTTTGAAATGTCACAATAACGAAACCAACGAATATATTAATCATGAAGAATGGAATGAGAATAATAAATGTAATGTAGAAAAATGCGACTATTGGTCTATAATTTGTTATTGGTCCATGATCTTCTGCGTTCGAATCAATAGATCGGTATAATAAACTGAATAGAAAACGTAAACACCCAATGAGTGGTCAAGGTAAAAGATTGACATGATATTACTTAATTGTATAAGTCCCACTAAAAATTCTATAAATATAAATGTTTCAATTTTTAATAACTGAGAATCAGTTTATTAGGAAACTACTTTGGAAACCATTTTACCCGGATAGTAGGTTAAGCTAACTTTTCAATGGAAATAAAACTATATCATGAATAGATAAGGTGTTTGTTTAACATGAAAAATATTCTTTTCATTTAATAACATTTATAAATGAATATAATAATAAATGTTAACTAACATATGATACTTGGTATACACAAATTTCGGTAGTTCCCATTTGATACTAACAGAAATACATTGAAAGTTAGACATATAAAGCTGACAACACTAGATGGTCGTTACAATCAAATGGAAAATACAGACCACTAAATCTCGTCTTGATAGTTTAGAGTTAGCGTTACATCTCCACAACTGAAGTTTCTGTGTACCAAATTTGTTGTGATATAGTGTACAAACCGCCAATGAGCTCCAACCTACAACAAAAACTGTCAAGTGCCTCCCCCCACCAGTTTTCAATGATTTATTAGGTAAAGAAAGTTAGTGATAAGGACTATCTCAACATACATATACAGTTTTCGTGTTTCTTTTATTTTTGATTTATGCTTTCTCAGTACTCAGACAAATAACATGCACTCAAAAAGTGAGTTATAAAAAGATGTGAGGTTGCTTTTTCAACGTTTAGATTTCCGTGTCATCTTTTAAAGAACATTACACTACCTTAACAGAAATGGAAACGCGATTGACATAAAATTTTATTTAATATTCTAAAGAAAACAATCATCGTCAAGCAAAAGGCGCATAGTAAACAAATTCATTTTTCTCTCAACCTGGCTAAACCTTTCATCGGGTAACCCCAAAACACTTGTGTGAGTATATATGTATAAATATCATTTTAAATTGCACAATAAATAAAAAAGCAGATTAACTATTCGTCTACTATAAAAACTACTTATTTTGTTTTACAAATGTGATGTAAATAATTGTTGTCATCATAATAACGTTTGAAAATAATATTATTTATTAGGAATTGTTGAAACCGTCTATACTTACCTTGGCCAACCTTCAAAAGTAGAAACAGCAAATAGAGTTAATAAAGCATTTGGAACATTATCAAAATTGAAATCAGCATTTTTCCATTCTCTTTCACTAAGAATAGGATCGTCTAAACTCATATCTTTATATTCAATAAATTGACCTCTAAAAAGCATTCAAATATAAAAATGTACTATGAATTTCTATGTTTACAAGTAAATCGATCAAAACATTTCTACATATAATGAATATGGTCTACTAAACGGTCCTGATCTGTGATATTTAGAGACTTTACCGACTTTGAAATGGAATCAAAATAAACAAACTCATTTCAAACAATGTGACGTTGCTCATTATTGTTGAATATCGTCTTCAGGTCTTCAACAAGTTGTTTGAAGTAGAAATCTTACAATTATGTATGATGATCACTGTGTTCAATAATACAATAGTAATTACATACACAAATGTTTTCTTGATTTAATGTGACATGACACTTTTACTATCAATTTTTTTATAAACTGACAGTTAAATAGTCGGCTATCAGTTATCTGGTTCTATGAAATAGGAGTCAGAAAGAAACTTACATTATAAATTGAAACATTCTATTACGGCAGTAATTTATTCTGTTTAAAGTGGTCTTATTGACCATTATCAATGGTTATATGAAAATTCCCATAGTTTCAGTAACTTATGATTAAATCATTTGTTTGAAAACCAAGCGAATTACTATGATTTTAATCATCAAAACTAACTTACTTGCAATCTTCTTCAACATGTTTTGATATATCTGTACATGAGTAAAATTTACCCTTGAATAACTGTACACCAATAACTGCAAACATGAATTCTAATAAGAATGTGACGAGTACGATGTTACCAATACTTTTAATGGCAATAATCATACACTGGACAACATGCTATAGATTATAAATTAAGAAAAATTAAACAAAAATTTGTTATTTAGTAAAATTTAAAGCTGAAACCGTTCAAACAGATTATATTGTTTGAGATTCATTCATGTTTTGTTGAATGATTGAGTTACAAAACGTAAAAGAGATTTTCAAAAAATCAAAATAATGTCCCAATAAAATAGTGAAAACAAATGGACTTTCTATGTGCAGAATAAACAACCTCAATATATTTGAGATGATGCCTTATTTCTTAACGGTTGTCATAACGTTTATTATCTTTCATGACAAATGTATGAGAAAGTAGCAATTCGTGTGTATATTGTTATTCGATAAACAGAAAATAATGTTAGATGATAACACAAACATCACTACTTAACAAAATCTCAGTATTTATTTTTCAACATACTACATGTAAGTGAAAAATATGTATAATGCTTACTTTTAACCCTTTGGCTCGATTAATGGCTCTTAAAGGTCGAAGCACCCGAAGAACTCTTAAGATTTTTACTGCAGAAATTGTTTGATTCCTACAAACAAACAAAATACACCGTGTTAAACCTTTAATGTAATCAGATGAATCAAGATATTGAACAGAAAGAGTGTAATAAAAATCTAGATTGACAACGCAACCAATTATTTACTAGCGCGCATCAATGTGTATTTTTTACAATCATCATTTATGTCATGTTAATTTACTAATAACATTATCATATCATCTCTGTAGGATTCTTAATAACTTCTTCACCTATCAGTTATTTCAAGCTAATCCTAAAAATTAAAGGGTTGTTTTATGTTTTATGTTCATTCTGCTGTTGCAGAGTGAATCTAATTATTTTTTATGCTAATATGTATAAAAAACCCATCTTAATTACCTCAAACCGTATAGTTTTGCGAAAAAGAATAAAGTAATGAATTATATGCCTAGCATAAATAACTTACTGTAACACGAATGAAACTAATGCTACGCAGACAACAATAAGATCAAGTAAATTGAATACACTACGACAAAATGCTCCTTCATGAAGTACAAATCCATAAGAAATCATCTAAAGTGCGATAAAAGAATATATATATATATATATATATATATACAAATATTAGGGAAAATATCCATTTATAAAAATAGAAATAATGAGACTTTCAGCATTCTGAACATTATCAACAACTACTCTTTGCTAAACTTCTTGAAGTATATCGCTAACGAGTCAACCAGTTATCCTTTGCCTCATGATACCCTAACTGGAATAAATCTGTCATAAATACAGCTTACCAATGTGGATTAATCTTGAAGGAACCTCTTCGGATAAGAAGATATTGGAGCTTTAAGACATTTATATAACTTTAATCAAATGCAACTTATTCTTCGCAAAATCACGAGATGACCTTTTATGGAGAATAAGATGACAGTCATTCATCTTTTGAACAATTTAGTAAAAAATAAATGATATCGTTATGAAATTAGTGTAGATTTTCAGCACTATTTGGTAGATTAAAATCCGTTACCTGATGTAAGCACATATTTTATCATTTATTTTAATATGTATGTATTTGCTACTACTTAATGATTATATGACATTATTCCAGATTTAGTTTACTGTAATTCAGAATGGAAATAATTACCGACAAATTGTTGCAACTAGATTTTGTTGAATAGTTTTACAATTTTATACTTTCCACAAGTAATCAGAAAATCTCAATTCCAAGAGATTAATAGTACTAATTAAAACGTGATCAGTAGATAGGTTCCATGTTATGTTTTACAGCTGGAATATATACATGTATATTTATATATAATGAAGAAGACTTGAAAATCATGTGTATGATTTTGGTGTTATCAACGCCTCCGATCTAGAAATTTTAATGTAAAAATGTTTTAGTCGTACTGGACAAAATCATCAGCGCTTGCTTCACGTAGAAGTCGTCGGAACTGACCTAGTTCACTTAGTTCAGAGAACTTAATAATATTCAGAGATGTACATGTTCATGTGCATAAACAATGACATAGAGTGGTGAGAATAATTTAAGTGGGAACATCATTTTAAGTGTAAATTTTATAATTTATGTGACTTTATTAAACTAAAGTTGTATATTAGTCTCAAACTGATTTAGATAAACGCAGTTTGTCATGTTAGTGACATTAATCACAATATATGCTGAAATTTTAGTATTTCATCAACAACTTACTTTCAAAGTGATTTCCACAGTGAAAACACTAGTGAAAAAGTAATCAAACATGTTCAGAATCTGAAAACAATTATAGTTTGGAAAGAGAGAGAATAAAGAAATTCATTGTATATGTAATCTATGAATAGTTACTAGTTGTTTTGTACATACTTGAAGATATTTATTTATAAAATAACATAGCCACCAATGTAATTCAACGTAGTTCTTATCAATATCCAGTATATAATATTTGTCAATGCTATCAACGAACAAATAAAACGGATAATTATCAATTCATTCAACAAAATGTATTCTCATACATATTTCAAAACGTCGTTATTCGCCTATATAATAACAAAATTATAGTTTAGAACAGAGGCGAACTAATAGTGGTTAATATAAGAATGATTTACTTAGAGTTTATCCAAACCAACTTCATTTGAGGAATTGTATTCACTTTCAAACGCCTAATATCTTACCTTATGTGGTAAATATATAATCAAAAGGTCCGTAATGGATACCATTGTACGTGTCATTTTAAACATTAAGAGATACAACTACTAAGTCATCGTTTAATTCAAATAAATCATTTGGAAAAAAAACTAATCTATGACAAATTATCGTCCGAGTAATATATTTTATTAAAGAAAAGCAAATATTTATTGGTCAGAAAAAATTCATGTGTTCACCTATATATCGTGAATATATGTACGAGATAATACTACCTAAAAAAGTGTAAATCTAAAGAAATATGCTACTGTTTACAATGAGGCATCATCTATAGTAAAATTGCAAAGAAATGAAACAGAACAAAAGGGATAACAAAGTCATTTGAATTAGTGTTAAGCAAACCAAAGTATTGGCTTAAGCTTCTTACTGACTTTCTGATCTGTTTGATTTTTATAAACTAACCGGTAACCAGAACGTTATAACTAACTTGAATAAATGGAATTATTTCAAATCGTTATATATCTGAATGTTATGCACTAAGAACTAACATGGTGTAAACAGAGATCGGAAAAATAAGAAATGTAGTGTATTTATTTACTCTAAATAATAATTATCATTATTTTGGCTAAAATATTTCAACTTTATTATAAAAAATAACAGTGGAAATAATCCGTACTCGATTTCTTGGAGAGTTTGCATGTAATGGATCTTCGGCAGCAAGTAAAATACTGCTTACCAAAATACAAACCAATACAATATTTCCAAAATGGGAGAAACAGACCACATTATGACAAAATATACGAAATCTAAATCGTAAAAAAGAGACATGGTTAAGATAAATTTCAACGGTAAATTCAAATCTTTATATATGTCGAAAATTTCTTTACGAAATATTCATACATTACAGGTTTTTACTAGAATATCATTTTATTCAGTATAAGATGTAAGTTAAACCTGTACGACAAAATAAACAAATTGCATACTGATCGTTTTAACAAATCTACAAATTTTTCTGTTTTTGATTCAATCATTAAATTGAACTTTATTGGCCATTTATAATCTTTTCCTAGACGCTTCCGCCTTTTATACAGTTATACAAAATAAAAACGAATGATAACGTTATTATTATTTACCGTGTCAAAATATTCCATCTTTTGACCAGTTAACTATGCTAATATTTATTAAAAATGATTATTCTGTTTACTCTAAAACGTTTAGAAAATTTATGTTGGACAAAATTTGGACAGATTCACAACAAAAAATGTTTTTGCCAGTCTTACAAATGTTTATATATAATACAATAAAAAATTTCCAATTTCAAATGAGAGATATTTTGATATTGATAGATAACTTACTCTTTTTAAGTAATTTATGAACAGTCGGGAAGGTATCATTTTTACAAATGTATGGTGTACAAAAAACAAACTTTAAAGGCAAATATTTCAACAAGTTATTAATCAATTTGCGCAAAAATGTTATATTTATTTACTCAGTATTGTTTATTATGAAGTTTGTTTTATAAGCAGACGGTTTCTTAACGAAAGTAGAAAGTATCCTTGGTTAATGAACGTGAAATGAAGATTCATTAAACTGTCAACTAGTAAGTCATATTAATTGTATATTTTAATATCTTCGTACAAAATCATTGAATTTTACATGGAAACCATACTTAACTGTATTTTCATAATTATTTCCCAAATTCTTTATATTATAAAATCTTGAGATCCTTTGTCGTTTTTAATTAATCCACCACAATATTAATTCGAAAACAAGCTACAAATTCATATGAAGTTATATTGATAAATTAGGTGGTTATAAAAGTTTTTTTCTTTAAGTGTCTGTTACTTGATAGAATGCCTAGGTGAGAAATTTTAACAAAAATATATTTTGTATATCCACCAAATGATTCAACAGAATTTTATGGCTAATGTTATTATTTTCAAGAACAGTGAATGTATTATTGATTTCCATTAAATAAACTTTCACAGTCAATAAGTTCGCATGATTTTATGGAAATATTTTCAATTTACACTGTCTTCAAAGTTTTTGGAGGATAATGACCTAATGGTTAGAATTATATACAGAATACGCTTCAAGAAGTTTATTAATTAACAATTCTTGAGAAACGTATCCAATCATGCTACCACAATGAAAGGTTAACCTTATTTAAAATTTGATTACAAATTAAGTGTTTTAGAAATCACTGACAACATAAGAAACAAAGAATAATTCGAATGTTTACTTGTTCGTATCAGCAAATATAAAGAATGCTGAATGAGGTGGCATTGTTCGACTATCTTGTGGTGACATGTCTTTCTGATCGTCTCCATCTTTACCATTTAAATCTCCTTCTTCCTCAACATCTTCATCTTCAGCAAACATTTCTTCATATGTTTGATCTTCATTATCTAAAATGAGAAGTGATTCATGCAGCTAATAAATACCACTAAGAACAAAAAGAGTAAATTATCACGGTACTGAGTTGTGAATTTTAATGAATCATTATATCATTACTGTATATATATATATATATATATATATATATATATATATATATATATATCAGGTCTTTACAAGTGCTTCCAGTACGTCGACAATCCAAAGCTGTTTATAACATTTACAAACAAATATCACCATTACTAACTTCTCCAGCACACACGCATAGAGTGTGGCGCAAAGCTAAGTACACAAATCTGTACTTAGTAAATGAGTAAAAACGAGTTAAGGAATGACTGAAGTGATATATATATATATATATATATATATATATATATATATATATATATATATATATATCAGACCATTCACGATATCATTTGCACCTAAATCTGTGAGAAATAATTTTCAATTATTATAGAATATGAATACAGTTTATAACTTACCTGTTCTTTCATATTGTTTAATTTTCATTCTATAAGTAAAAGAGTATGATAAAAGTATTTTATTTCCAGTGAGGACATTTGTAGTTAGATACATACTACTTGGTTGAAAGATAATAAATATTTATGAAATTTATGTTAATGAGGAACTTCAACGTAATGAAGATTTACTATCACGTGGAAATGTGTTTCAGTCGAAATATTCAACTTTCCATCAGCATGTCAACATGGGATTAGCAAACATAACGATAATACAAAGATAGGAGTATAAACAGACCATTGAAAAACTAAGGATAAAGATAGAGACCAATAGAGCAAATAAAAGTTTAGAGTAAACAGTCTTGAATAAAACTATGTTCAAGATTAAAAACTATTTCCGAGGGAATTGGCATGAATTTTCATCAACAGATTATGAACAAGTAACTAGAAGCCCTAATTCCGTCAACATGGCTCAGAATATTGATAAACAATAGTACAGAACGGTAAAATGTATTAGTCTGACCAACGCTAGCCATGTTTCAACCTCTTAACATGTTAATAATTATAAAGCGATGTCAATACTAGTAGCAGTTATATGTTCTACAGCTCCAAGCCCAACATGTATTTCTTTTAAATATCCCATTAGTAATAAAATTTACTTCTAGTGATATCTTGTAATGGTATTTTAGCAAGGGAAACATTGCTTAGTTAATCGCCAAGAACATGGGGCTTAGAAGTAATGAGTAAACTTCAAAGCAACCTTATCTCACATCCTAACAGTAAGAACTATAACAAACACGACAAACATTGTCCTAAAGGTAATCACAGAGTTAGATATGATAGAAAATCAGACGAAATTAACATAGTACTACAAGAGCAAATAAGATGAGATCTAGATGATGAAATGTCATCAAACTCAAAATGTGATGGGAAATATGGAATATAAGCACATGCTGCACCGTGACCGTTTTCCAGCACAGTCATCTAATATCTCCATACATAAATCCCAACTACTGTGTACGTTCTAACTGGAGACTTTAAATTCCACTCTACTCTTCCTGTTAAAACTATTGATTATTTGAATTCTCGATAGGACGGATCGAATAAATACATAATCCAAGACAGTAAAAGATATGATTGCTTAATAAAGATAGATTGATATACATCATTTTTCACCTACAGATGACTAGAATCGTCAGGTGAATATTTATTGAATAACGTTCCTTGAAGAAAAATTAAATAAAACATACACTGAATTTAATTCATTTTCTCGCTGTTCTGGAGGTGGTGCATTTTGTTCAACAGTCTCTGTAAGTTCTGGTGTGTCATTTTGCCTTTTTAGTGCATCACCATTTCCTTCTTCCTCTTCATCTTCATCTTCGTTTAAATTATCGACAGCAATAGCCAAGAACACGTTCAATAAAATATCTGATAACATACTCCATAAGAAAATATTAGCTTTATTCATGTTACAAATAATAGACCTCCAACAAACTGGTGTTGAATATATATGCTGACTTACACTAAAGTAGTGTGTTGTTTTTTAATATTTTGACAAATCGAAATCATTAAAATAAAACTGAGTTCATGAGGGCTATCAAAATAATACTTTTTGTTAGTATCGAAAAATTATCCGAATTGTAATTCTGAACATTTTTATTAAACTATAATCAAAGTATTAAAATGATTTTATTAATAATTATACGAGTAGATTAATATTACTTTAGGTATGACCTTTGTGATCCAGTCTTAAACAGAAAGCGTTATCGAAATAAATAAAAGAAGAAACTTATACATCTGATGAACATAAAGTAATATCGAGTATTTCTGAATTAATTTGAATGAATGGATGACTTTATAGACATTTTATAAGGGTATCATAGTATTCATACGAATTATCAATTTTTATATAATTTGAAACAGTCAAAAGTGCTTTTATTTTAATTTCGACTTTTTTTCCCGAATGACATAACTTACATATATATTGGGATACTAATAGTTTCATCCCTCATAAGAATGAACACTTACAATAAATTTCCACATATACTATGAACTTGGCATTCATTATTGTGTCAGACGTACATAATATCTATTTCAACAAATTCTCTTGGCAATATACAACCTTTTTCTAAAAACATCCAAAAATTACAATCATATAATGTCATTTTACTACTAAAAAAGAATCAAACGATTTTCAAAGGATACAATTGCCACATATGAAAAGAAATATGAAGTAGATAACTACAACTCCATACCAAGGACTATTTTCATATGCTCTCATTCCATGATACATAACTTCATTCCAATCTTCACCAGTAAGTATCTTCATTGTGAGGAGAAAAATAAAATGAAACAAGGAACTAAACATGTTTGTACATGAAGACAATGAATAAATTTACACATTTAAGAATGTAAAATATTTATTTTAAACAAATTAGTTCATCTAATCCAGCCTTGATTAGCCGCTAAATCATTATATGCGTACAATTCATTGTGAACTATTCAAGTATTGATTATCTTTTACAATTCTCTACAAATACAAGATATCTTACAATGAAAATAGGCCATTTGCTGAAGCCTATATGGCCTAAAACTCAACTCACTTTGTGACTAGTAAAGAATCTGTCCTAACTAACACTATCATAAGGAAAATACATTCATAATAACTAAACATGTAATGCAAAATGTATCTGTGTTGAATTCTTTTCAACAATGAGATAAAAATAAAGTACTGACTAAGTTCAAAATCAACCATTTAATCAGTTAAGAACAGCATCATACTAAATTGAAAGTATGTTAGATTCCTTTATTTTAAAAAACAATTTCATGCTGAATAATATAAGTGATTTCCATAACTCCATTTCCAACGCACATTTATTCCCTTTTCACTCATTAGTTGGTATGCCAAGATAAGACCTAAAATAATTTTGAAATGATTCTTTGTATTTTTTCTGGTGATCTATAATTGATGTCAAATTTTAATTAAATTTTATGGCTTACATAACTGACTGGCCTTAATTAGACAGTCACTGAAAACCAGTAAGTATGAATCAACCGCTTCATCGTAATACGATACACTCTACCAGTGTGCATCACAGACTCTACTAGAAAGAGTTCACGACCTTCAGGTTTCATGATATTTAGAGCGCTAAGGATACATCCAGAAGTGTAAGTGAATCATTTCAATCAACTCGTCAGTCAGTCAGTCATTCTGTTACAACGTAGGACCAGGCACATATGTGCATCGATCCAAGTTGCCACACCTCATTAGCACCAAAAAAATGAACATCAAATCCAAAGAAGCAATTAACTCAATGGTGTAATACATAAAAGAAAGACTGCACATAAGGATATAGTACAGGAAAGAAGTTAGTTTGTAAAAAGAAAGATATGAAATAATCTAAATCTCATAGTTTAAAGGAAGACAGAGAGTGTATACACCTACGTAGTTCTTCAGTCTGTTTAGGAATGGTAGCTAGCTGTAGAGTAGCTGAAAGCCAGCTGAACTGCTCCATAAAGTGTTCCACCCATCGTTCTAAACGTCTGGGTTGAGAGCAGATAACAGTGTTGTCTTTTCCCGAGATAGTCTCACTTACACTTGACTTCTTAATTCCAGCTTCTTTCATTAGTCTGAAAAGCTGTCTGGTGTTACATACAGCCGCTGATTTTTCCTTCTCTTTTGCTTTCGTTGCCCACCACTGCTCATGGTCGTTCCTTAGACTTTTGCCTAACCTAGGTCTGATTTGTTTTTGCTAGTTGTCGTGTTCGGAGCCAGATAGAATGAGTGCAATAGACTTAGCAGAAATCCACTGGCTTTTTCGTTACCCTTTGGTTTAAGTCACTAACAGATGTCACTCCTGATTCCACAGCTGTTTGTATATATTTACAAGCAACATCTGGGTCAGCCTCATTTCAAAACTGACTAAGTTTAACCCCAGTTGTTTCTGGAATCTACTTTTGGCTTCCTTGTCACTGAGTTCAACTCTGATGGGTCTTCTTAATGTAGCTTTTCTGCATCCAGAGAGGCGCGAGCAAATGCATGCCCGTATTAGAGCCTGACCAGTCTAAACGTGTACTCCAGAACGAGCAGCAGTCTTCTATAGAGCCTCTCAAACGATGACTGATGGCAATATGGTCTATTTGAGTCCATCGTTGGTTTGGTGCAGGTAGTCGCCATGTTAGACGATGTCTCTCCTTATGCTTAAAATTACTGCCTGCTAAAAATAAATGATTTTCTGAACACAGTCGCAGCAGACGGTCACCATTATCTGTTCACTGAGCCGGAATACTAAAATACCCGCCTAAATGTCTTCCTGTTTGGTTTAAACTACATAACTAGGCATTAAAGTCACCTGCTACGAGTACTATGTCTGGGTGCTTAGCTTAATGAAGAAGTTCACAAAGCTTTCTGTAAAGGCCATTTTCCACTTCATCTGGGCTGCAGTCAGTGGGAGCGTAGGAAGAAATGACGAAAAGACAACGACATGTGTTCCTATCCTTCCGAGTTCTTACGGAACCGTTTAGTCGAACAACACATGTACGACTGTTAACAGGGATCCATTATAATAGTGTTTGTTCTGCCTTCGTACTCAGTGCTATGCCTATACACGCCAGTTCACGAGAACTAGCCATCAGGTGGCCAGATACACGGAGCCTGTATCTCGTCGGCTCTCCGTTTTGCCGAGGTGAGGTCAAGTGAATGAGCACACTAGGATCCTCTATGTGTGTTTCGGAGGCACAGCATACATCAATGGTACGAGACTCTAGGGTTTTAACCAAGGAAGCCTGCTGACCGAGATTTGCATAACAATCTCCTAGTATCAGACGTGAATAACTGCTTCATAAACGACATGGTTAAACAGTACTGGTTACACCGTAATTTCTTGCTTTGTTTTTATGCCCATAATTTAGAATACACAATTCGTTTCTACTCGAATCTTGCTTTTAGTATTGGTTTCAGTGACAGAGATCAACTACATGTTATTGAAAAAATCAGATTTGTAGAATATCCTAATGTAAACAAAATTTATGGTACCATGATTAATTATGTCAATAAATCTGACTTTTCACCAACCTGAAATACAGTAAGCATAGCTTGCAAAATTCCATCAAAATTAGCACGAGGTTTTTCATGTGCTATAAAATTGAATCGACCACCGAATAATTGCATACCAAGTAAAGAGCAAATAAGAATGAATATAGATAATAGAAGTAGTAGACTAGCAACTGATCGAACAGATTTTAATAATTTCCCTACTAAGCTTCGCAAACTTTCCCAGTACCTAAAATTTCAAAACCAAATGAAAAAAAAAGCTTGATTAGTAGGATAAACCCTATCAAGACAGTCAAACAAGATAAATTTTTGACAAGTTATAGTTTGCACAAGAATCTGTTTAATTATTCATTAAATTAGTGTTTTGGTGTTTTGAAAAACAAAATTAATTCGTATTATAAGTTCTATTTAGACATCTACTTTCATACATTAGACCAAATACTTGATAGAAAATTTGTAATTAGGGTATTTTTGAGACTTTGAGACTTTACAAATATTTTAATTCAGAATAACCGATTATTTCCATCTGTTTTCACCTTTATTTCTTCGTACAAAGTAGTGTAGGAATTAACAAAACGTTTTACAGTACATCTGAAGTTGTCAGGAATAAGTCCGAAAACTTATTAAAGTAATTTAGACAGGAGATTTCTAATCATCAAGTCATTTTTGTGTAAAAATAAGATTGGCTCATAAACTATATGGTTACTTCAAATGGTCAAATATCTAGTTATTTTTGTTGAATCTTTAGCTGATAATGTTGTCTAGAAAGACAATGAAGTTTGATAAAAAAAACCTATCCAGCTTAATAAGTCAACTATGATTAAAATCATTATTCTGATTTAAAAACCTATCCAGTTTTTTTCAAATACTGAGCAAAAGAGTTTGAAGCAGTTAAGCATACATAGTGATGGAATTGTAAACCAGGAAAATATCATCGATATTTCATTAACGCTCGAGTGTTTAACACATGGAAGATAATTAAACAATTATCTGAAGGGAAATCACTCTATTTTGCATTATGTAAATCATTCATATTTACAGTAATTTTAAAAACATAAAATGTTTCACATAAGTGATTTTTCACCTAACATGTACGGAGTGATTCAATCTACTGATGAGAATTAATTAAAGTCATTTCTTACAAGCAAACAAGTTTATTTTATGTAAAAACAGAATAAGCGAGAGATCACGATGTAATCAACGACAAGTCTGAATTCCTATTATTTGAATAGAAAAAACCTATCAAAATAAGGGATCAAAGACAGAAGTTTAACAAATGGAAAGAATAACAAACGATCGAAATAAGATATGCTGACGTACACACAACTCAACAAAACAGAATATCTAGCAACAAATGGTTCTCATTATCCGAATGACCTTCCAGTATGAAGAACCTCAGTCTACAAACCTTGTTAAGAGATATTATCCTGAGATAAGTCTTTTTATGACTTGCAGTACGTAATTGAACCATCATACTAATTAGAACTGTAAGATAACTGAAAGTGACATATTCTAGAGTAAATACTTCATAGTGGAAGCCACTCATCAGGTCAAAACATTGTATCGTCAAATATGCAGTCATTATTTTGACAATCCTTAAGACTTTTTAATAAAACAATTACGAAAATACAACCTATATTATTTTCATCACTTTGATATTGAAGTACGATTTTGCACACTTACTGAGTCAATTTAAATATCCTTAGAAGTCTTGCACAGCGTAACACAGAAACACCCATCGGATTGAGTAAACCAGATTTCACAAAAATCAATTCCAATATAGAAAATATAACTACAAAAAAGTCGAAGCGATTGAACAGTTTTGAAATATAATCTGAGAAACCAGATGCCCCATTTTAATTACCATTTCCATTGTAAATAGCATCACAAATACAACATTAGCGAAATCTGAAATAAAAAAAGAACACAACACTTTGCTCAACTATAAAACTCTAGGTCTCTTATAAAATTTCACTAAGATAAAGAAGTATAAAATTAAAATCGTTTTCTAATTGGATGGTGCATTTACTTTTTGATTTTCTTTCGACAATTACTAAACTATTAAATTCTAACGATAAGAAAATGAATGCATTACTCTGGTCTCGCCGAAAAACGAAATTGAGTCACATAACAAACAGTTATTATACATTATTTTTAACTAATCCCAAACTCTTTACACTTTTATTCTCTAGTTACCATCAAAATCGAGTTATGCGGTGGATGGTCAATAACATCCACATCCTAACTAATTTGATCGATGCATGTACACAGTTTCACCAATTCAGTTGCCTAATTTACCAAAAATTGTAACATCAAACTTGATATTCAAGAATCAAGGTTAGTCAACCACTAAACATTGTCTATATTTCTAAGTTAAAATGATAAACAAAGTATTCTGTGTTTATCCATTTTTTCTCCTTCGTGAGGTATACAGGTCACTTAGTATAGGAATACTAAAGATTGAATTGACAAATATAACGGAATATTATGCTCTTCAACAGCATTCGACTGACTAAAATGCTCTACAAGAAAATAACTACATCTTTGTTAACTCAAAATAAACTTGCCAAACCACACTAGCAATATGAAATTCTTTTGGAAAAGACAAATGAATGCAAAAAGTTATACTGGTATGACAGTAACCACAAGAGCGCCTTATACAACACTTAATTTAATGTCCACAAACAATAATAAAAACAAAAATAAAATAACAGTAACACATTTGAATTAAAATCAGTCGACCAACCTTGGAATTCATCTAACCATTCTGGTTGATTGTGATGTTCAGTGGTTAAGACTACTGTGTTAAGAAAAACCAAGATAATAACTAATGCAAAACATTGGCGACTGTTGATAAAAGCTATCACAGCTCGTCGTGTTCGTTTACGGAATTTTCTTAAACGGCTAAAGTTTTTCCAGTGAAAATCAACAGAAAAGAGATTTGGTTCAGCTAATAATTATCAAAATTTTTACAGTTATTATTTCGTATATCATTTTTCAGGTGTCTTTGTCCAAACTAGTTTCTGTAATATATGCAGTCAAGTTTTATTATTAAAGAATAACAACACTGGAAACTTCTCAAATATCCCCCAAAGACCTCAGTTCTTATACGCGATTAATAAAGTCTAAAAGTCATTTTTAGACTCATTTGGAAGGAAATAATGATTAACTTAGTGTATTGCGCTTGTTCTGAAGATATAATTTAAATATGAAATTAAGAACTTCGCTTTATGCAGAGCGTTTAATTTGATGTCATTTTGTGTTATTTATGTATCAGAGCAAAGTGAGTTGTGATTGTCCATGACTGTAGATTTACGTATCCAGTTATATTAAAGAGCAGAGACATTATATGTTATACGTCATTTCACTATGAACTACACAGGAGATAACCCATGACTCCTAAATACTTTTTCAAACTAACCTCATTGTGTTATATATGGTTCTCAATCAAAACATTGGAATTTTTGGCTGAAATCTAAGACTAAACTTTCCGAATCCATGATTTCATTGGACTTCTAGTTATAACAGTTCCCAGCACCTTTTTTAACTATTCTTCATTCAGCACACTTGAATTATATGGTAGTTTTCGCCGCGAACGAGCATGAGCTGAAGAATTATGAGGGGCGATGAAAAAGAACATTTTTTTCATCCTTGGATGGTTCTCTTCAGCAGTACTTGCCGAAAAACCTATAAGTGACTGAATCTGAAGGGAGTAACTGAAAATAATTCATCACTGGCACGATACCCATAAGTGATGAAAGCATGTGAACATCGCAATACATGACTAATTTGTTGGCCATGAAGTTTTGTCTCACTGACCTAAAGATACCAGGATCACTTCTAAACCTGAAGGTTCCCGGTTCAACGTTCACTGTAATGGTAAGTGAAAACCTCCGTGGAGACTAAGATAGGTCAAAACAGCGGTTCAGCTCTTTACGATTTCCACTGATTCTCAGATTGTTCCCAGTTTGTGATAAAAAAAAGTGCATAAATACAAATATCAGCAACTACTAAAATAAACTAGATTTGTGTCAAAATAAGTGTCCAGTCAAGCTGTTGATCTTCACAACGAACGATGCCGAATCTGACAAGCACATTAAATAGCAGTAGGATAAACAAAACATTTTATAAGTTCATTTATACATAGAATAAAAGATGAGTTGAATATTAAATACCTCGCGTATGTTTTGATTAGTTTTCTGAATTACTAAAATGTATTGTAACAAAATAACCAAAATTACTCATAATTAATAGTTTACGCCATCTAGCAATTCGACCTAATCATTCAAATGAAATGTAAAATGTCAAGTTTTATTTGTTTTGATATATCTATAGTTGATATATTATTTTTTAATGATAGGTTTGACAAATAACCACTTTTTAATATATAGATTTTATTCACATATGTTCTCAAGTTACTAAGATCATCTGTTAATTACTATATTGCATCCAAGGGAAATGTGTTGCATTGTCGAGCCTAATATAATTGTATTAAAATAACTAAACTACTAACAATTGATGTAAAATACACTAGAAGGCTTGGAAAGTTTTAAGTCACTTATATTCAATTCAAAAAAATTCAGATAATGAGACTGGCTTTAGATAAATTATATAATTGCCACTTACCGAAATGTGCTATGACAGTGTGTTTTAACTACCTCCTCAACATGCATCTCGGGTTCCTCTTCAATTAGCCCATCACCACCATCAACTAAAAAAATTAAATATTTAACTAATTTCAGTGAAACAAATAAAAACCCAAAAAGTATGAACTGTTGTATCTAGAAGACGCTGACCAACGTCACGTAACCCATCACCAATCGAAACCATAATTGTAATTTGGTCTACTATTAATTCTATAGCTTAGTGCCAATTACACACCCAACCAGCATTATTGACTTTGAGCTAGCAGCCAAATTACTATTGGTCATCTATTCGCCAGCTCTTCTGTATGCTAAACTTTTGATTTCAGAAGTAGCAACCAGCCCCTATTATATTTACATTTCAAGCAAAAGTGTTTTATGTACAGAAATACCAGATTGAACGGCACCATATGATGAAAAACTAACAATTGCACATAAACAAACTAAAAGTGACTATGAATCTGGGAGATAAGGAGTAATAGACTGGCAATAAATTATGAATAGTAAATCGTATTGCGGTAATTTATTGGTTAACCAAAAGCTTATAATAAAAGGAATAAGTATACATGAAAAACTATTTATTCAGTAATTATACAATAAAATTATAATTAATAATCAATCGAAAAATCAGTTCTAACATCAGTAATATTCATCCCATTATAACGTGTACTCAATAATTGATCTAGACAATTATTATTGATATGAGAAACAATTTTTCTTGTTAAAATAACAGTTACATTATAATACTTCAAAATGAAATTGATTACAATATAAGGTTGCTATAACCAAAATGAATGATTAGTTGTTAACCAATAAGAAGTAAATCATTTAATTTAGTAAATAAATCTATTAATTTTAATCATGAAATAGTTAATACAATTAAAGTTGAATTTCTCTAAATATCAATGACAAACATAATTTATAAACGACATATACAGAATACTATACTGATATCCTATTCATCTACAGTTTCTATTCTAATAAATTTAAATTAACTAGCCATTTATTTCTTAAATTTTAATTGCTAAATACTTTTTAGTTTTATGTAAATTATGAGTAAAAGAATAAAAATATCAATTATCAAGTATTATTTTTGAAGTAGATAAATGTTTCATCTCAAAAATAATTATTATTTTAGTGAAGTTTTGTTATCTCAGCTGGATAGTTTGATCATGGTACTTTCATCGTTATTCTAAACGAAATCATCAGCACAAACTTCAGATAGAAGCCTTCTACTCCACCAAAATCATCCACCTGAGCTACAAATCTCTACCCTAATTCAAAGCAAAGAAAATATGGTCTATCAAACAGCGATCAACTCTGATACATGTCACTCATTGTCGTCAATCACCTTTGCCAGACAGTCTGAATACGCCTACATGGTTTAGTTCACCTTTCGATGGTTTCATGGACTGATCTAAGTCCTTGGTTTGTCTCCCTTTACTTTTCTTCTACCCTAATAGATAATACCTCCCACCTATGTAGGCGGTGGTTAAATATATATACGCATGTCCTAACAACATCAGATGATGAAAACTCACAACCTCATTAATTGATTTGCCTTATTTACTTAGTACCCTATCCCTAACCTAGGTATCGCTCACTCAATAGTCCCAATATACACCACCTACCCTTCGAATAAACCTATCGTCAAATAATAACAAACTTAAAAATATCCTTTGCTTTTAATTAGCCACGTTTCACGCCTATAAAGTCAAACAGAGCAAATTGGTGTTCATTAAGCCCGTACGTTGACGGACAAATAGACATCTAGTTTACGATTCGGGTGAAGTAAATTGATAAAAGCCAAACTAGCTTTTTGAATCTGTTAAAAGATTGTGTCAGATATTGACACACTACGATTGATGAGACATTCCAGGTACAAATATATTCTATCTATTGACAATTATCAAATGATATAAGAAAACTAACCTGATTCTATATCTTGACTTTCTTTATCATCACCTTCAGAATCACTTAGTTCCTCTAAAATGAAATTTCAAGAAATAGAAATCATAAGAAACATGGCGGAAATTCGATGGATTGTTTTCTGTTCACAGTTAAAAAACAATGTGATAATATTGTAGTTAAGACATAAACATATTAACAGTTGTAGTAACAACAATAACAACGATAATAAATAGCGAAGGAGGTTGACAACAATGATTTACTCATTAAAAGTGAATGAATCATACTAACAAGAGAGCAATATATGGAGCACAACACTAAGCTTATTATTGATTGATGTGCCCACCTTTTATTTTACATACATATATACACACACAAAGCAGATTTTCAACCTGAATGCGTATACATGTAAAAATACACATATGTACAATGTAAATCACAAGAATTATTCTTTTTTCAATAAAATGCACGATAAGTAATGAATTGTTTTTACAAAAACACCATGTACTAACTACTATTTTGCAAAACATTTTACTTTAAATTTGAACAGTTTTGTCTCCTGGGAAAGAAAACCAAAAAGTTAGGACAAAAAATTGAGCAAACTAAGACTGAGAAGAAATCAATAGGAAATACGTTACTGAATAACTAAATAAGTTTTGATAAGTGTAATATGAAGATGTTATATGAAGTAGTGGAAAATATTTTTTTATCCGAGTAGCAATAAAACTCGATCAGAAGGAGCCCGGATTAAGTTACTTGTTATAAAGAGTTTTGCATCTTTTTATTAGTTTAAGTAATATGATAATCTGAATTTTTACGATTTCATTTCACATTATACTATCACTACTATTCTCACTGCTTCACTAAACGGTTATGTTTTTTCAGTAGGTTGCCATAACGATAATAAGTGAATAAAACAGTTGTTCTAGTGAATGAATAAGCTTCAGAAAAAAGAGAAAAGTATTCTTGATGAGGTCATATTTTTCAGAATTGATTCTAAGAATTTTGGAAATATATGAACCACGTATCATAGCCGTTCAAACATAATTTAAATATTATGTACATTGATATAGCTACACTGTTTGACTACTGAATAATGATTAATAACGCGTTTGTTTAATCCTCAATGCTGGTCAAATTCTATAAAGTTACCATATTTAGTCCTTTGGTGTTGTTCGGACACTACGGATTTGTGGAAACAACTGAGATTGTAAAGGTGATTCCATCAAGAGGTGTACCTTGTTAACGAATCCCTCATAGAAGAAAATGTGAACCCATAGTTTCCTACCAACATCCTAACAGATATGAATATATTATACAAATAGTCCCCTTTATCATCTTGAAGAGAGCAAGAACAAAGATTCTAACTGACGGAATCTTCGTTCTTGCTCTCTTCAAGATATGAATATGTCTATGCTATTATATATGATAGCTCAAAAATGTATCTATTCATATTTTAAAAATGATTCTTAAGATCAACAACCTAAGAAGAAATTGTGACATTTAATAACATTTATTATTAATCTGAGTAACCATTCATATAAATCCCGTACATTGTTCTATTACATTATACTTGGTTACACATAACAAAGGCTTGTAGACTTTCATTATTCAAACTTTTTTCAGTTCTCCAGAACTAAGAGTATGCGGTTTATTGTGTCGTGAATATATGAGAATCATATGAGAACTTTTATGCGACATGGTTTTACTGTATGGGACTCTTTAAACATTCCCGATGCCTTAAACTTAAAACCTATTTGGATAATTTGTATCAAAATAAACCTTACTTAAGTAATCTATCAGTTTGTTTCAGTGTCAAAATCAACTGTCGTTCCTTCCAACTGTGAACGAAAACTTTTTGGACTTAGGGAGATCACATACTATAACTACAAATTTTATTTAACTACGTAAAAGTGAAATGTCCTTGTATTTACAAGATAATTACGTCAACATACTATAATTTTAATTAATATAGAATAGTTGAAATGTCTTTAACATTAGACACCTATTTCGTCCTATCTGGGACTCGTCAGATAATGTACTTGAGTCCCGAAGTTGATGTCTACTTTGAGATTCAAATTCCACCTATTCTATATAAACTTGTGAAAAAATAGCGATCCACACAGCATGTACGTTAAACGTCTAAGACTAATGAGAATCCAGTCAAAATATCAACAGCGGGATAATCCAAATCATTACAAATTAAGATTCAATTTTATTAATGTGGAAATGATCAATTTCTATCGATAATCTACGTATTGTTTCTCACATAATACTTTTAACCGTTAAAATATTTAAGCACTGATATAATTTGTATACCCCGAACTATATTACAATGTAAATAATCAATATTAATAACCAGTTAATTAATTTACCAGCTAATTCAATCCATTCTTTATAACCCATATAATCTTGTTGTTCACGTTTTTCTTGTCTTTCTTTACGAAACAATAAGGTACGATCTATTTTTTCTTTTTCCTTACTGAATTCACTGGAAAACAGAAATATACAATAACATGGGAGAAATAAGCTTACTTAAAGTATTTTTAAACTGTCAATACGATATTAGTTTCATTAAAAGCAATTAGTCCCTTTTATAAATTTCGATACAACAATGAGAAGACGGAGTTGATCTGAAATACGTGATGTATTTGCGCCATACATTTCCAACATTCTGGTCATACATATACACACATATATAAATTCAAGGTAAATTTAAACCCCTCTTATGTGTACAAAAACAATTTGTCGTAATCTTGGATTTACCTTGGTAATCCTTAAGTCATTCTATGGCCTAGGATAACGCGACAATTTCTTGGTCTTTCTATACTATGTAAAATTGTTTCTCCCCTTTGTTACTTTTTACTTGAACTTTCATTTAATTGACCTTTATTAATTTTCATATAAAATGCCCTGACAAGTATATATGTGACCAGATTGTTCGAAATGTATAGCTCACATACATCACATTTTTCAGATCAACTCCGTTTTCTCATTGTTCTATCGAAATTAGTTTCATTCATTACTGAATGATATTAGCAATATATATATATATATATATATATATATATATACGATAAGCTTAATTAGAGTGCATAGAAAAATTACTGAGAAATCTGTTTTATTTTACTTTGGTATTATACAACAGTGAATAATCATGATTACATGCAAAAATGAAGTTCAAATTATTCATGAATTGCTTGAAATGTAATTTTATGTTAGCTTATCATCTTGAAAAAATTAAGATCTTCCACTTCAATTGATTCATAATGACTTTACAATCAATATACAATGCCATCTGTGGTATTTATCTTATGAAAATGTCGTTTAAAATGTGATAATCATGTCAGCATAGTAGCGTAGTTTCTATTTAGTTGTTTGTCTACAACTGTTGTTTTTTGTTTACAAAAAAATTGACCAACAAAAAGACCTATGTCAATAATTTGTGAATATTTCAATAGGCTATTGAATGTCTACATTTGTTTAGATTGGATAACAACATTTCAGTGATATGAAGCAGATTTTGTGCATTAAATGGAATTTTTCATTCAAATGAAGCATTCAGAAACGCCTATTTTTACGTTTGTTAAAAAAGACAGCTATTAATAGTAGTTAGACAATCTAGGTAATAAAACAAACCTTCCTCGTGATTTTTTATAAAGTGTTGTAAAGCGATTTGTAGAAAAAAACAAGCTCAATGATTTGATGTAACCTATGATAAATGTAGGCTTTGTAAGGAAGATTTTATACATATGTATATACATTTACAAAAATGAATCCAGCTTTTAAAATTGAAATTGAAATCCATCTACATAAATACAGTCAGACTAGGAAGAATGATGTTGCCCGTTTCATCGAATATTACCCTATGAGATTATAAACTTAGAGTACTCCTAAACAGTTTTACTTATTTTAAGATTATTATTTTTAGAACAGAACTTCATTATCCGATTACTCTATTACTTTAACACGAAAATCCCGGTTTATAAGACAGAAACTAATTTATCAAAAAAACATCATACTGTAAAAACAAGGGATTTTATAGTTAAACTAGACATGAGATTTGTCAATAAACTGAGAGATTTGATAAGATATTCAGGAAAATTAAAATTATTTCATTGCCAAAAATGTTACTCAAACACTGAATTTTTATCACAAAATTTTATTAACACTTTATTTTAGAACTCTCTATGTGAGATCAGTGATATGAACACATTTATAATCACCTAAATTAAGTAAAGAAATAAAATCTAAATTAACAAACAACCTAACCTCAAGGTGTATATTATTCATCTTGTCCTCAGGTGTTACCTTGTATTATTCTTTGATGATTGTTTACACATGTTCCACCTATTTGCATAACAATCGCTTAAGGCTTTATGTCAAAATATACCTGCAAATATATTGAACTTAAATAATTTTCTAATAAGTTAATTTTTCCATGTTTAAAATGTACGTAGTTCTTAAATTCTGTCAATGTTGTTCACATTAAAATCATATTTACTTCTATCTTGAATCAAAACGCCATATAATACAAATTTGTCATCATCTAATGACAAATAATTGTAAATATATAATTAATTACAATTATCGAAATTTCGTCGAATTTTTTTAATTTGGTTGTGCTCATAAATTATGAATACGTACAACCATTTAATTGATATAGACAATGAATTCAATACTAGACTGATAGGTCGTGAGTTATCATTTCACGAGGAGAGATCGTGGATGCGCACTGCTGATTAGTCCCACAATAGGACGAAACGGCCGTCCACTGCTTCCAGGTTTTCCATGGTGGTCTAGCTTCTATTGACTCATGATCTCAACTATTGAAATTACTATGATATCCACAAAATTCGCTTCTGATATTGAAATATAATTGTTTGAAAATTACTTGGTAGTCGTATAGAAATAAATTTTATCACATTAATTACATACCCGCTTAGTACACCAAGAACAAGATTCATAACGAAAAATGAACCAAGTAGAATAAGGGTTACAAAATAAATCCAAGGCCACCAGGAACCAATAGCATCAGACACCTATCAAATTAATTTTACAATAGATTTAGATAATTTAGCTATAGAACAATAATTCAAATACAGCATGAATACTTCATTTATAATAATCATTTAAACTTGTCTTATTAATGATGAAAAACAAATATTATAATTTTATGAAAAATAAATTAAATAATTTGCTTCCGATTTCTCATCAACCTGATTATACTTTTACTGTGTACTCCAAAATGTTTTTTTCCTGAAATTACACAATACTTAAGAAACATAATTATATTATTCTATATCACAAAATAACAGAACAAACTATTCATTAAATCATTCTATCTGATTGTCATTCGTATTAGGCATGAGAAAATATTAAACTTACATAATACCCAGTACTAGTCCAACCTTCCATTGTAATACACACGAAAACAGTAAGCATAGAATATAGAAAATTATCAAAGCTAACGATACCACCTTCAGGTCCAGTGTATCGTTCTCCTTCTTTGCCATACATATCTGCACAAAAATAATCTGGCCCAAGTTCACTGCATTTAAATCCCATTGATGATGTTTCAAATGTACATGGTCGAGGATTCGGCATCATCTCAGCTACAGGAATTTGTTGCACAAAAATTCTCATAAAAAACTCGAAATATATAATTTGTTTAAGTTGAAATAAATCATTTACAATCAGAAATAATGTGACTAGGTTTTACCACTCTACCTGAAAACGCCAATGCAAAATCTCAAGATTAGCAAATGTCAGAGTATTGGTAAACATGAATTTATTTGAATTATTCAATTTTCGATTACCTGAAGAAAACTTGATTCAAAATAGTTAATTACTCTTCAAAAGCCCTTAATTGTCTGTATTTATTTTGTATACAATACATGACACAGCTAAAAAGTACTTCTTTAATATACTTTCACTTGCGAATAGGTAAACCCTAGTTAAATGATAAAGTATATCGATATTAAACTATACAATGTTGGAAACCTACTTAAATCACATCATATAGTCCTCAAGAAGTAACCTTTGTCTCGTTTTTCTAGTCCCCTGTGTTGACTTAATTTTGTGAATCGATTTGAAATGTAGTCACTTGTCCCAGTGATTAGACGCTAGACGTACTGCATTTTGGCGTTATGGTCTGGAGATGAAAGAAGTATTCTATGTGGCGTCTAATAATACTAAATGTTTCATATTTAACACCATATGCTGATATATTGTAAAGGATTTTAACCTTCATTCGGAAACTAAAGTATCTTAGCAAAAAGTATAACTTATGATGACTTCTTTTCATATTTTCCAACGCGGTTTTACTCACTAAATAATGTGTATTTTGGGTGTTTATATCCATAAACTTCGATGCGAAAACCACTGTATTATCACCACTTGGCTTCAGTAGTATTTGTGTCACAAAAGGTTTTGAACTTTGCATGAAAACTAACGGGCAAATAATACACAGACTAGATATGACTTGTTGCTTAAAACAAGTGTAAAAGAGTGGAGCGTACGGTATTATTCACACATTTTAAAAATACGTGACCTGAAAAGACGACTAAACCGTTCAACATTGACATATCTGATTACATGATGATATTTGTGTTTATTTCTTAAGAGGAACTTACGAATTTTATGTGTTGAATTTTTATAACAGGTTAGGTGTAATTTGCTCTGAAATAGTTCAAGGCCAACAATTGCATAAACAATAATGACAAAAATTACAAGCAGTGCAATATGCAGCAATGGAACCATGGCGGTAATGATAGAGTTGAGCACAACCTGAAGGCCTGAATAAAATTAATGGGAATTAAAATGTTATTAGATACGGTAAATATAATTGAAAATCAGAAAGAAAAATACAGTGGTTTTGCGACTAAAAGGAATTAACCGTGAAACAACACAAATTATTTGTGAACAAAACAAAACTAGTTAGATATTGTTCGATGAAAATTTCACAGTAAGATCATTTCAGATGAACATTATCATTTCAGTGAAATTCATATACCTTCCAGTAAACCGAACTACATACAACTTGAGACTTGTAAAATCTTTAGACATTCTTATCTAACATAGCTCTGTTGCTAAACGAATTTCTATAAAATTATCCAGTGTGAAACAGAACTTTTATGTTTAAAAATGAAATTGAAATATTTTAAGCTTGAAACGTTACTGTCTTAATAAGTCAAATATCATTTGCGATTGTCTGGAAGTATAATAGAAGTTTAAAAGCTCTTGGTAACGGTTAATTTTTAAAAATTTCATATATATGTCAGATTAATCACTTACTAGGTAAACCAGAAAGTAGTCTCAACGGTCGTAACACTCGAAATGCTCGAAGGGCTTTTACATCGATATTCATATTTTCCAATGCTTTTGATGATAAACTAAAATAACAAAATAGTCGATAAATTATTGTTACTACATCTTTTTTCCGTAGAAAACTATGAACGAAGCTGCTAAACTTGAGTACATTATTCAGAACATTTTATTAAGTAATGAGTTCCTTTGATTTATTACAAGTAGCACGGTAGCTTCAGATTCACTTCAATTAAAAACAGTTCAACTTGGCCTTTAAAACGTAAGTATATCATTAAATGCATGAGTATATTTGTAGATCATTTTGTAGTAAAACCCTAGAGAAAAGTTATCAAGACTGTCATTTGGGCACCGATCTATAAATTTCATGATGTATTTCAGAATATATATATATATATAATTTCTGTTAATAACTTTAACCATGTATAACTCAAAGTACATTTAAGCCTTTCTTCGTTAAAATATTTTAAATTCCAATTAGAAACTTAAATTACTTGATTGTTAAATAAGATTTTGTTGAATATATGGGAAAATGAGTGAAAAACATCGAACACTGAAGACTATTTAATGATGGACTGTTATGCAGATTTTTACTGTGCATTTGTTTACCATTTAGATTTTAAAATTTTTATAGTTTCTTAATTTTATACTTTCATTTAACTCATTAAAACTGTTGATATATGTTTTAATGGTCGTTAATTATTGTTAGTTGATTATTCACCTATTACTCAGCTCCGCATCATAGATGGAATAGTTATCTACAAATTATGATTTCTCGTTTGTCGTGTCCGGTGGTCTCGTAAATGATGCACATTATTATGTTAGTTTTTGATTTTCAATTTAGAACAGATTTATTCTCTTTGTATGAGATTTCTTTCAATAATAAGATCTTTTTAAAACTAAGAAGGACTTTTAACATGACCATAAATGTTCTACAAAATAAGAAAAACCAATTGAATCAGGATAAACTGCAAACATACCCAATTAAGACTATACTGAAATCTAGGACATTCCAAAAATTCCTTAAATAAGCATCTTGATGAAGGACAAATCCATAGGCAATAATTTTTAAAGCGGATTCAGTTGTAAAAATTATAACAAATGCAAGTTCAATTTTTTCCTACAAAAAAAGTGAAATATAAGAGTCCGTTTATACAAACAAATCCTCTAGACATGCTTAAAAACGAATGTTAGGGTTATATTTAAGGGGTGTTTTAGACGTCTAGTAGTTACATCGAATCTCTAGAAGTATAATCATCGGAAAATTTTCTTAAGTGAATAGTTAATAACTATACGTGTTCAAGGAAAACTGAAAATCAGATACGCTATGTGAAAGTAACATAGTAAGCTTCAATTTGAAACTGTTTATACATGATATAATTCAATAATACGAAAACATTATAGTATTGATCATAACAATCGCTTTCCTTATAGCTATATGCTTGGTCACATACAACACATAACTACCAATTCATAAGAAATTTTAATCTTATATCCATTTTATTTATGTATTTTTGACTTCACTTGTTTTTATCATATGATTTAGTTGAACTCCAATATGGTTGCATTTCATTTCTTCAAAGTACGAAAGAGAAGTGAAGTACTGTAAATCATCGTGATAGCTTGAATTTTGTATAGATCAGCCCATGCAATATGTTGCAAAAGAGTGTAGTTATTATATGTGATTAATCAAACAAGTCCGAAAAACATGAAAATTATTTGCGATCCTTACAAAGTTTGAAAACGTTGACCTAAAATTTTGAGTAAACCGAATCATATATTAGTATTACAATACATTATTTCATTCATGTGACTCGAAAATAATTAGTGGTTAAACTGTTTTCAAATAAACGGCTTTCTGAGAGAGAGAGAGAGAGTAACATGTTCGCTTATTTCACCAATAATAATATAGTGATTCGATCGTTTCATATTTAGGCACATAGACAAAAAAATAAACTATGGTATGATGAAAACTTATTTGTAACTTAGTTACAATTTCAAAGTACACTGATGACAATTAAACCACTCATGTACATTTCGGCAGTTTAAAACTTAGATATTTCCAACAGTCTCAGTAACAAAGTGAAGACCGCTACTTCAGAACAGTTATAATTAATACTTATCGTTCACCTTACTTATCCGGATAAATAGGCAATACTATGCTGTTTTCTTTATATGCATATAAAAAACTGGCACTTACCATAACTTGGAAGTTAAAAATCAAATTACATGCTTGTAACAACCAAAACCATATTACAATTAAAAAACCATACTTACCAAAACCTGATTTACAGCATTCGAATCTTCTCCAGGATAAGGATGATTGAATGCCAGTGCCAAACAGTTACATAATATCGTTGCCAATATAAAATATTCAAATGGTCTAACCAATATATATTATTAAGAAGCATAGTCTTATATATAAACATATATATATATATATATATATATATATATATATATATATATATACTGATTAAGTAGTTTGGTGAGGACCATTTTAATTTCCAAAAGGTGTCTGTCAATAGTCGATCTCAGTACCATCGGGAACCAAAGAGTACTGGACAGCTACTTCGTTTTAATATGAAACCCTTCAGTATTCGATACTTATGACCCTAGAGAGATCAAATCAATAATATTAAAGTCTCTCATTTCATTTACGATCATCAGAACCAGTGTTTCAGATTTACAACTTCAGCTAATTCGTGAAACAGCCCAACTTATTTTCATTACAAAATGGCTGGTGACGTAAATGTGTATAAACAAACTGTAATGTAGTGTTTCTATTGCTTAATCATTCACCATGAAAAACTCAAAGATCTTGGATAAGCACCTATGGTGAATCCCATACTCAAACGAAGCAGCTCTACAGCCTGCCTAGTTTTCAATGGTGTTAAGATTGATCGATATAGAATACGTTCTACACATCTTAACTCTTAATTACTAAGTATTTTAAGCGTCTCGTAAAAATACTTAATCAAAAAAGAATGTAATCGAACCTTTAGTATTTAAGAAATTAACTAGGTTGTCGATCACTGTTAAATTAAATGTTTAAATCTATTCATTGTTAGGCAATTAATTTGCTAAGTTTATCTCAGTCGTTCTTTACAACAAATTTAATTTGGTAAAACATCTATGCTATCCAGTTCAAATGTATTCATGAAGGACATTTTTAAAATCATTTAATATGTCAATTAAATAAAAATCACACTTTGATTTTAATTATAGACAGACGGATATATATATATATATATATATATATATATATATATAACAAGTTATGACTTATCACTTGGGAGACCATGTTTCTTTGGAGTTTGGAAAATATTACTAAAGAATACTTGGACCTAGTGATTTGCAAAAAGCAGTGTAATATATTTAATTACATAGTTAGATTTTGAATTAAAAGTTTTTTAGAGAAAATCGAAAAAATTAGATTATATCTGTCATGAAATCTAAAGCATCCGATATCTGAGCTAATTGATCATTATTATTATTTTGTCTAGTCAACGAAATCATTTACTTAAGCTGTACATTTGCATTTATTGTTGTTTTATAAATAACTAAGTATACAGGAAGATAGAAGAGATTGCACCACAAAATGCTTCAAGATTCAAAATATTAAATAGAGGTTGCATCCAAAAGAGAATATCGCTGAATTTCCTTTATTTTTATTTAATGACACAATGTGTTAATTTAATTATTTTGTCTAGTTCCTAATACCTATCAAGTTTAAATATGATTTATTTACTGCAGTCTTAGAAGACATTAGTGTTTGTCTGAATATTTTGGTGGTATCTCCTTTCAGTTTGATTAAAATGTGTTCGAATCCTTTACGAAAGTATCACATACAACAAGATTGTTAATGTACCTTGATTTATTAACACTAACTAGCATGAAACCCAGTGTATTAAGCTTAGTCTCTAACCAGGTATCATTTCTAATATCATTTATTTCTTAACTAATAGGAATGATTTTTGTTTTTCTACAGAATATAATTAGAGCACTGAAATTAATCGGATTCATTTCTTTGAAATTCAAAGTTAATAAATAGAAATTGTAGAAGATTATGTAATCTAAGCATTATGATATTCTACGTTATATTTGAACTTTATAATTAAAACTCAGTACAACTGCAGTTGAAAACACATCTACCTTTGTGTTAGTGAAAATATTGTTTTATTAACTTTCTTATTTTCCATCATCTGATTTGCAGATCACCAGTTACATATAGTACATTGTAGTATGAAAATATTTCACAACCTAAAGTGTTGCCACAATTCTTAACATGAAGATTGTAACTTGTTTGCATGTATGAAATAACAGGGGAAATGAACATAATTTCGATTCCTTTATTTTTGATCCAGTATTTTGTTTATAAATTCATGTTTGTATTGGTTGCTTTAGTCTTCCCACTGATGTTTAAGACTGCAACTGATCCGTCTCTTATTGGCATATGTTCACCATTTACAGAACGCCTTGATATTACCATAAATCACATGCATTGTAAGCAAAGACGGATGGTGGCTGGCAGTGGAATCTAGGACGCGATGGCGTTTGAAGCAAACAATACCGGGTTTGAGTCCCGGAGTGAATATCAAATCTGGGATGCAGGTAAGCCCAGCTAACGATTCTGAATGGGACGAAACGCTCTTCCTGGATTCCACTGCTAGTCACCATTCATCACTGATTTCATTCATAAATTTTTCTGAATAAGAATTTGAAAAATAAATTCTTCTATAATTTGGAAGATGTCACGTATTCCATCCTCACTTAAAAAATGTATTTTTCAAGATCGATCAGTGCATAGATGAACAAATCTGTTGTTAGGCCTGTTTGCATTTTATGTATCCCAATAGTAAATTTCTATTGGCTTACTATAATACAAAATCTTGTTTTCTCCAAACATACCTAAATGATTTGTGTCCATAATTGCCTAGCCACTATCGTTGTTTCTAAAAATCGATTTGAAAGGAAACATGATTGAATTTGTTCACATGTGTTTAGTTCAGTAAGTGTAGATCACAATAATATACATATATGTATATACCAGTACAATTAGATAAGCACACAGGCACATATTTTGAACAACCTCACTTTGTGTTATACATTCTGTGCACCATGGGTAAAAGAATTATTTCCATTCACCATACAAGATTATTGATTTATTATAAAAAAATAGAATGAAATAAGCTTTAATTTTACAAGACAATAATAATGACTTGGATTAACAAAATATTAAAAATCTCTGATCCTAAGTCTAGATAATCCTAAACAGAAAATCGATTAATAGGATATTTGATCAAAAAAGCAAAATGAAACTATTTTGTCTGGCGTAAAAGACTTTCAATAAACATATTGATTATTATAGAATCTTTCTGGAACTAAATTATAAACAATTATTTGTACCTGAATAACTAAACAATGTGCAGTTAAGCTCCACACAAACTGACACATTTTTAATCAGAAGGGTGTTTATGTGTATTTGTTCACATGCGGAAAATCCAACAAACAACTCCAAAATAAAGCTTTTCAAAACACAAAATAAGGAGTGAACTAGCTTACGAGATAATCACCAACACTGAATAGTCATACACTGATTATAGCGTAGTACATATTCAAGTGAAGTGATTATGTGGTTATGTCAATTTGTCAAATAATTAAACCTACAAATCACACTATTCAAATTATTCAAAATTAGAAAGCAAAAGTCTTTAGACACCATGAGCTTAGACCAGCTGATTGCGAAAAGGCAAGGTTCATCAAAGCTCAACTCTTTGTCGACTATCTCTAAACTATTTATACCCTAGTGAAACCGTAAGAAAAATACTATTTACACTACACTGGTTGAAAAAACTCTATTAACATCGTGACCAACGAGTTACCTAATGAGTGAGTTCTGATTAAGCTGCGGGACATGATTCGTCTTATCCAACATGAAACTGTCGTTGTACCTAAAACTGATAATTTATTACATAAAGTTATTTGAATACAACTAAATAGGTGAGCAAAGTAAAACTATAACAAGCTTTTAAAATCTTGGTCTTTTTGAACTGTGACCATACTGGAATCCAGGAAGCGCATTTCATCCCACTTGGTACTCGTCAACTGCATACATCTGAATCCTAGTGGTCATAATTACAATCACACTTGAACCTGCTATCTATATGTTTAAAACTGATCGTATTATCTACTGACCTTCTAAGTCGAGATGTCTGTAACAAATGTAATAATCAGGCATCCATAGAGGATGCGATTGTGCCAAGAAAGACTGACAAGATTTCAGTCCTGAAAATCAATAATGGTATAATACAATCCTCTGCGAATAAATTTATAAAGTTGGAATAATTTATTAGTTCCAACGATAATCTTTTTCACTTCAAACTGAATTCAGTGTTATTATATAATATGCATGGTAGATGTATACCAACAAGAAGCTATACAGTCTGTATAACATTTAATATATAAATAAGCTAAAGACAAGTCCTTTTACATCTATTGAGAACAAGTGTATGAATTAAACTGTACTCATAAATCCACAACTTGAAATGAGTTTTGTGTGATCCCATAATATAATATCAGCATTGAAATACACAATTAATACAATAACAATTTATCACTTATTCATGTATTGTTGAAATTATATTCAACTAATATCCATTTACGGGTAAGATATGATGATATTGATGAAACACCTTTATAAAATCCAGTAAATTCCCCATATATTTAACGAGCAAAAATAAAGATTGAAAAGTTACTTAGTAATGTGAAAGATTATCCTAAATACTGTGATGAGTAATTCTAAATGCGTGGTAGAATTAAAACAAGTAGAACAGTCTCATATCAAGGTAGAATATGGTAGTGTTCCTGTTAATGAATACACAATATCGTAGTTATTAGGACCTTTTTTCCAAATTTACATTGTCACTGGAGAAATTCATGATTTTAAACCAAATAGACACTGGTACATAAAAAGAGTTCATCTGTTAGCATTAACGGCGACAGAAGACAAATTTCACAACCATATATCTCGGTTATTTAGATAAGAAAAACCATACTTAATCCATTAAACAAATTCAAATCTACTAAAACAAAGGATACCGTGCATCCACTATACATATACAAACTCTTCTAAGTGGATTTTTCTTTGTCATCAAACATAATGAACGATCTGTTCGAAATTGAGGACAAAGCTTTTTCTTCTTCACCTCACCACGTTCTTTAAGAGCAGCAAGCGCTAAATCAGCTATGAGGGGTTTGTTGCTTTGTAGAAATGCATTTCCTCCTGAACCTGTAGTGCCCCAAGGATTTTGCCCAGGTGTTGGGATCATGTTAGTGAAAGTTTAAAGCTCCAATTTCAAGTTGACCCTACGCAAAAAGGCAGATAATATAGAGATGTAAGAAACTTTTCATAAAACTTTCCTTTAAGTTGACATAATATAAATACTTGTATACGTTAGTAAATATAACACGATGATAAGCCTTTATTACGTAACATGAACATGTTAACTAAACTTCGTTAAATAATCTAATTTTGTATGTCTATGTCTCACCCATGGTAAAACAGTTCAGTAAAAAATAACGAATACATCATTTAAATGGAAGACGATGATAATCGATTTCTTACTAAAATATTAAAAAACATATAGTATTACTTAAACAGTGATTTGTAGGAATTTATTTAGGCTTACCCAAATAGGTGAGTAAATTATTAATTAAGCTAGCTATCTGTAGATTGGACTAATAGATTAATTTCCCTCTAGAGATGTAAAGTATTCTGTGAGGAAACAAATTAGAATAAAGATTTTCTCTCTCATTTCAGTCTAAACGAACAGTTACGTGAAAAAGGTCGAATACATCAAAAAATTTAGTTTGTAATTAAGAATTTACACGTCGGCATTTAATCACTTCAGTATATGGTGCACTAAAAGATAGAAACTAGATAATGGCAGCTGTCCATGTCACATTAGGTTATAGCGGTTTTTCTAGTGAAATCACTTTTGTACGTGAACTTTTAAAGAACGTTTTGGTCGACTGTAAACAAAAAAGATTGCTTTAATTAATTAGAGCTCAAAAGCCAATTGTTCAGATCATTCTGTCACTGGATACTGAACAACATTCAATTTATAATAATCATATACAACAAGAAACATTAAACTATTTCCAAGCACATTGAATTTTAAAATTTTGGATTTACACTGAAAATCGGTCATCATTACTCTCCACAAGTTACAACAAGAAGTAAAAACTCGAATGATTTGCAAGAGGGAAAATCTAGCGAGTCTTTTATTTAGGCGGTAAATATAATTGAGCTAGATATTTATGTTACTTATTTTTATTTGCAGTTAAACATGTAGACAAAGGTAAATACAATGTTACATTAAAACAAAGAAATACACAATCTGTAGGGTAATTAATGTTCACCACTTCAGGAAATTATGATTAAAGAATAGGTGTTATCTGATGAATCTAAAAAGTGGAAAATCAGTTAGTGATGACCGCTTTTAATTGTTAGAATTTTCTCAAAGAAATTGAAATACTGAAATCCGAAACTATACATTACTTCGAGAATCAGAACTATACCTAATTTTTGTCATTCAGCATTATTCGTAGTATCATTTAAGTGCCAATGATGGCCTGCTTCCTTATTGATCTTTATCATTCACTTGAAGACTTTATGATAGTTACTTCTTAAAATTTTACACAGATCTGTAGCTTTACAACCCAGGTTTTCCTAACCGTTCGTGTTGCAGTTTCAGCCCGCATTTTTATCAGTTTGATTATCTTTGTCTCTCCACCAATCCTTTTCGTTAAGTTTCTACTTTTCGATTCTTTTAGGTATGACTATTTAAGTAGACACACTCTAATGATACACTGCATGAAACTCTTCTTATTTTAGGAAGTGATTAAGCGGCAAAACCTAGGTTTTACGGAGTCTTTCAAGCTAACTCAAGCCTATTGGAGAAATACAAGTATAAGAACCTATTGAAATCTTACGTAATAGACTCCAAATGATATGAATATGAGTCGCTGAACGGAAAGAAATCATGATGAAGCTAATTCATAACAATATCAAACCAATTTTGTAATAAATGGAACCTATTAGAGCTAGCGAAATACACATACAAAAACGTCTAAGTTGGACGACAAAATTGTTGATAGTCTTCGATAATCCTTAGAACCTTTTACAGCAAAGTTCGCTGACATATCTCTACAATTTTGACCACTATACCCTATACTTCATAGCCAACCAATAATAGTTGTTTTAGTTCTTACAGTAATACCTCTACAGCCTCAAACGAAAACCCTCCTCAAAGAATAAAGATACACTGTAGTCTATTCTTGATGTTTAAAAATAGTATCTCAATCCCTGTACCGATGATACTCCTAATAGGCTTGAAACAAATACTTTATGACAATAAAAGTGTACGATAAAGGTAAAAATAATCGTATTAATCGTATTTATCTGAATATCGTCAGTTGGTAGAACCCTCACAAAATTATTTCGCATTTTATACGCACTAAAATAAAAGGTCATTCCTAATCATTATTGCGGGATATTCTTTGTACTCAGCTCTAATAATAACACTGTTTTGCCTGATTAAAAAACATGTATACTTAAACATATTTGTGGACAAAGTCCAACGTGGGACAATTTAAGCTTTTTATGGCGTAGATCAACCAGATATACGTTATTCCATACAACCTGTTGAGTGTTTTATCACACACCAATGTTAAGTTAGACGTCTGTTCAATTTTGTGGATATTACATCAATCCATCTAGTTTAAACACATAAATTATGATGAGCTGAAAACAAGTGAACATCTTTATCATTCGAAAGTTCTTTTTTTGTATCAGTTTTTGCTAATAGTGTCGACATGGTGTAAGTACTAATGCGACTTGTCAGCAATTTCAGTTTTGTGAAAAACTATATTTTGCAAATTGTTTCTACACTAAATCATCGTATTCATTAACATGGCTAAAAATAGCACACAGCAGCTAACGATAAAATAAATTTAAAACAAAATCAAACACTTGCTATAAGCCTTTAACAAAGTTGTTGTTGAAGAAAGATAGGGTGTGTAAGTGGTTAGCACTGAATACTGTTAAATAAAAGTATTTTATTGACGTCAGCAGCATGCTAGTTATCCTTCATTTTTAATCCACTCCGTGTGCCTTTAATGCACAGAGTTACGTTCAGCATCATCAATCGACAGATCAATCGTCGTTTCTTTTTATTCATTTTCTATCTTCAAAGAATTACCATATCAGTATGATTTACTGCCTGTGCTTAAACCAAGTAATCAATATCAATATTCTTTAAAGTTGGAAAGTACAACAAAATCGTCAGTCTGCTGTCAAACTTTAGAATTGATTTCATTAATTACAGCTTAGGATCAAAGGCTGCAATACATCAGAAGCGTGTCATCATTTGGGTCGACTTAACTGAAAACATTTTCCTACAGTTTGACGGCGAAATCTCCTGAGATCCCTTTTTTGTAAAATCAATTAACACTTCACTAGCCTGACACTTTTATTGGATGGTTTAATACAAACTAATTTATGGAAAACCGTAAAAAGATAATTGATGCTCAGCAAGTATTGTAATCCACTTTGTAGGCTTTTATCAAGGTACAGCAACGAGAAACCACAACTGAATATCGAAAGTCTAAGGTTTTACATAAGCTTATCATAAAAACCATTGCAATAAAGTCCCAAGTTAATATATAAATCATTTAGGTACTCAGCCTACACTTCCTTTATTGTTACTACTAATTATATAGTTATAATAATGACATTAAACTCACCGTAATGCGTTTTTAAATCCAAATACACATGTACGTTGTGAATATAAAGTCTGGAATTTAGCTCGGTTAGTTGTTCAAAGACGACCGCAGCGTTCTTCTTTCATACAGATCAGGTCATCAATACCTAAGATTTCAGAAGAATCTCATATCAACTATACAATTTGCATAAACCTTTAAAGTGTACCAAGTTGCTTTTAATAGTACGTATCTGGAAATTCAAGGTTTATCTTTAGTCCTAATTTGCTTGAAAGGAGATTTTAATTTTTATACTTCCACAGTATTAGAAAACGATAGATTACCTAAATCGATATTAGTTTGGGTAAGCATAAGTACAACAAGTTGCCATAAATGAATGAGTTTTAAATCAAATAATTCAATATCTTGGTGATTTTACATATACAAAATAGTGAAATCAGCACCACTTCTCAACCTAAACATACTAGAACCAAACGATAAAATGGTCTGTGACCTCAAGATAAATTCAACCGAAAACCACAGGCTAGTAAGAGGTATTGATAACAAAAACCTTTATGTGGATTTGTTCTATAGTTGAAGAAATCTAAGTACAATTTCTAAAGTACGACATAGAGAAAAAATCTCGCTGAATTACAAAATAGCGAAAAATGATGTGACGACATGCTAGGAAATCATGTTTCCGTGAAAAAAAAAAACAGATAAAACATTCGATAACCAACTCATTTATTTTAAAATTTGAAGAGGGTTTATCGTAGGTGTAACAAACTTCAAAAGGAATGTATGGAGGATAAAGAAAATATTATCCAAGAAATAAGTGGGAAGAAATAACCTATTATTCATATATGCTGTTTGAATTAACACTCCGTAGCTACTCCTTTTGTGTTGCACTGAGAATATTGTCGCCAGGGTATTTTGTAATTGGATCGGAAATAGGAGTAACGATTAAAACATAACAGTACTTGTTATTATTTGAAATATAAAAAGCACATACTATAAAGAAATAAAGTAACTATACCAAAAAGTCGCCCTCACGTCCTTAAAATAAAGAAACTACAGTATTTTGGCGTTTTTATAAATAATGTTAGGCAGCTCAACCTCAGTACTTGTCATGACATACACAGCCTATTAGTGACAAAAGTTTCAGGACAAGCCCATAGAGTTCACTACATGACCATGAATTCAAAATCGCACATCATAATTACAAAATATAGTCAGTCCAACCAATTTCGTTTGTAATGCGAAAAATAATATTCTAGACACATGATAATTTCACAAACATTCTCTAAGATCATTCATCAATATGTAAACTAGTTTATTAAATCTCTGTTCACGAAAACTCACATTTGTTTTAGGATTCGCGCTGACAAAATATCTAATATTTCGGGGCATTAAAACAAACACGGCAGTTCGAAAAAACGATTTGGAATGACATGTAACATGGGATATATTAGCCAATAAAATACAACATTTTTATAAGATGTTAATATAAGTTAATTCCTTTATTGATTCTGTTAGAAGAACCCGAAATATATATGTCCTTAACACA